AATATAATTAATCTATTCTTTTTTATTCTTAATTGCAAGATATAACAAAATAAGAGCAAAAAATCTTCTTTGCCACGATACTTTCATCAAAAGATTATACACTTTATCACCGTAACAATACGAGAAGCGTGAGTTTCGAGAAAACAATTCGAGAAAAAATCACCAGATAGCCCGATCACAGGTAGGGGATCTTTTACCGATTTACGAGCTGAACGTCAAACTCATAGGATCATCGAATCCCTCACAATGGGCGGTCGTGTTTTTCGTTGCATCCACCAGGATCGACCACACCTTCTACCTGCGTTTATAATCCGGAAGCATTCGCGAGAGCGCACGCACCAACGTTCGAAACATTAAAAAGATACCTTGTGTATCGACACCTTTCGAGGATACACATAGAGAAATACTTATGTATGATCCCTTTTATCGTATTTTTTAGATCTACGTGTGCTATGTGTGAGATAAATGAAAAGAGAACGTATAAATGATCTGTATTTGTATAGGTATCTTAAATATTATCTTAATAATATTTTAATAGTAAAAAAATATAAATAGGACTCTTTAATATGTTAATTATTAAGATTTGAATCTAAATATGAAATAAGGGATTGAAATAGTAGATGATATATCTATTTAACGAATATTTAATTATTAAGATTTTTATTTGAATCTAAATATGAAATAAGGGATTGAAATAGTAGATGATATATCTATTTAACGAATATTTAATTATTAAGATTTCTATTTGAATGTATATTCTATATTCTATAATTTATTTCTATATTTATTCTATATTTATTAAGATTTCTAAATATAAAATAAGAGATTGAAATAATAGATGATATATCTATTTAATTGTAATATAATTATTAGTGTTATTCATTGAGCGGTTATAAAAGAATATATTATAGTAATTGGAATATTTTTATTTAGTATTTTGTTATTTAGCAATAAATATATGTATTTTTTTTTCTCTCGTTTTCAGAAATTTCTTTTATTCACCCGTTGCTTGTCACTTATTTTTCGTTTATTACTTTCGAATTCATATATGCGGTTTGACCTCTCATTTCAAATCGATGAATATTATATGATTTAGCCCGAGTTGAAGAAGACCGATCTCTTGAATAAATCATGCATCTGCAACTTCTACATTGAACTGAATCGCACAACGTTTGTCACGCGAACGAGTTGAAAATGCCATTGATTTATGTGCCCGAAATAATTTTTCGATATAGTGAATTGCATAAATAGATACTACTTTATCTTTAAAAGTTGCTCGTGTTGCTGGAATCTAATAGGAATAAATTGTATTTATGTCAATTTGGATTTAATTTAAATATGAGGATATAAAGTAACAATGGAGAGAATCAATATAATATGTAATATAATATGTAATATAATATATAATATTGTTATAAAGAGAAATTGTAAGAAAGTTAAAGTTAAGTGAGATAAAAATAAAGAAAATTATTTTTTACAAGAAATATTTTTAATAGAAATAGAGATGATCAAATTCGCGAATGATTATAATTTTCTTCTTTTTCATTCGAAAATAACATTGCAATTAAAAATAAAATATAAATTCATTAAAATTCTATTTTTACTAGGTAAAAGAAAGATCTTCTCCAATTGAAAGAAAAGAAAATAATCGAATTCGTGAATATTTACAATTTTCGTGGTAAAATATTTCATTTGAATACAATATTACAATTAAAGATAAAATCTATTAAAATTTTATTTTTACTAGGTAAAAAAAAGCTCTTCTCCAATTGAAAGAAAAAAAAATAATCGAATTCGTGAATATTTACAATTTTCGTGGCAAAATATTTTATTCGAACAACATTGTAACAAGCTAAAATTCTATTTTTCAAAGGTGAACTTTTCAAAGCTTGAAAGAAAAGAAAATTATTTTTACATTTTTTAATAGAAACGATTAAATTGGTGAATATTTACAATTTTCTTCTTTTCGAGACAAAATATTTAATTCGAAAACAATTATTGCAATTAAAAGATAAAATTCATTAAAATTCTATTTTTGCAAGATGAATGAAAGCTCTTCTCCAATGGAAAGAAAAGAAAATAATCAAATTGGTGAATATTTACAATTTTTTTCTTTTCGAGACAAAATATTTCATTCATTATATATTACATTCATATTTTTTTCATTGAAAGAAAAAAAATAAATTCGTGAATATTTACAATTTTCATGGCAAAAAAAAATATTTTATTCGAAAACAATATTGCAACAAGATAAAATTCTATTTTTCAGAGGTGAACTTTTCAAAGCTTGAAAGAAAAGAAAATTATTTTTATAGACACGATCAAATTGGTGAATATTTATAATTTTCTTCTTTTTGAGACAAAATATTTCATTCGAAAACAAACAACAATTATTACAATTAAAGATAAAATTCATTAAAATTCTATTTTTACTAGGTGAAAGAAAGCTCTTCTCTAATTGAAAGAAAAGAAAATAATCAAATTGGTGAATATTTACAATTTTCTTCTTTTCGAGACAAAATATTTGATTCGAAAACAATTATTGCAATTAAAAGATAAAATTCATTAAAATTCTATTTTTGCAAAATGAATGAAAGCTCTTCTCCAATGGAAAGAAAAGAAAATAATCAAATTTGCGAATCTTTACAATTTTCTTCTTTTCGAGACAAAATATTTAATTCGAAAACAAACAAAAATTATTGCAATTAAAAGATAAAATTCTATTTTTGCAAGATGAATGAAAGCTTCTCTCCGATATTCAACGAGTAAATAAAAAATTTGCAAATTATTCAGCGGCGTGGATTCAGCGCCGTCCAAAGTGAAGATCGGTCAATCTCGAATACAAAAGAAAGGCACACAGGTGAATAATATGCAAACTCGCCGACAAATTTCTGCCCTTCGATTATATTTATCGCCCGATCCCAGCCGGCAGATTACATTATTTTGATGCTTAATGCGTTACGCCTCTCCCCTCCTCCGCCCTCCTCCACCGGTAGCGGGTTCAACAAAATATTCGGCAGGGGTTTCTCGATCTCGATCGCTAAATGCGCTCAAATAAAGCAATCTCCACGATCAGACAACGACGACGAGGCGGCATTTGTCTTTTATCCTCCGTTTCACCCCTTCCCTTCTCCTCCTCCTCCTCTCCTCTCCCAACCCCCTCGAGTATTTTGACGACAGTGGCCACTGGTCATTGCTGGCTGGCTGGCTGGCTTGCTGGCTGGCTTTCCAACCTCTTCCTCTTTGTCAAGGCGAACCCTTCTGACAAAGCGAAGGTGGTAGCCCGCCGGAGAATTAATTGCTTTGAACAATATTTACGTTCTCTCGTCTAAGAGATTCTCTCTTCCTTTCTTTTATTTCCTTCATTTTTTCCTTTTCTTTTTCTTTTCCTTTTTTTTTTTTTTTTCGGTCACGAAGACCAAAGAGGTCTCATCCCCCCCTCCCCCCAAATGGTCAAACGAGGAGGAGGAAGATGTCGCGCGATTTTTATCGAGCTTGCCGAGATTCTCCTTACCCTTCGTTCGAGGATGTATTGAGCGTATTGAATTCTGGTGTGGGAACGCCGTATGCATGGAACGTGTAACAGAGAGGAGGGAAGAGTGTAACGTTGCCACGCGACAGGAATTGGGATTTTTTTGGGAGGAATCTTCGTGGCTGAGTATCGTTCGATAATTCAATTCGTGGAAATCGACTCGAATTGAATCTTTTAAACCAACTCTTGATTATGCTGCCCGATTTTCTGATACCGAGATAAAGATTTATAAGCGAAGAGATTGAAATATTTTGGAAGATCGTTTTATAAACGTGTAAATTAATTTTTGAAGTGATATGCTTTGAGACAGCTTCAAAATTAAGAAGGATTTCTTAATTTTTCCAGATATTTAGAATAAAATCCAGATATTTTAATAATTTTCATTCACTGTTTAAGTCACGAATAACAAAAGAAAATTGTTATTTTGTTCGTCGCATTTTAAAGTTACTAATGCTAAAAATCTTGATACAAGATGGGTTAATCAAATCACTGTTTACCCCAATAATAGCCCAACAACAATAAACAAAATTTAACACATACACAGTCATTCAAACGCTTGCAAGAAAACGGAAAACGAGATCTCCTCTCGCAGGAAGGATATCCCAGATATCCCAGCGATCTGGGTCGGCTTAAACTCGTTATAAATCAAAACTCTTCCCAAGGCGGGCCTATTCTTCGCCGGCGCGATGGCACAATGGCCGACCGCCGCTCACAATCGTCCACGAAACGGAACGAAACGAAACGCGCCCGTTCAACCGATTTGTTTGTTCGACCGCTTCGTCGATCGAACGAAATCCGCTTAATGCGATCGTCGAGTGTTTCGTGCTCCAGAGAGAGAGAAAGAGAGAGAGAGAGAGAGAGAGAGAGAGAGAGAGAGAGAGAGGTGTAACGCTTAGGTGAAGGGGTCGTTCGAAGAGGGTTGAGAGAGAGAGAGAGAGAGAGAGAGGGATGGGAAAGTTAAATGGAGAGGGGAGGAAGAGAAAGGAAAGGAAAAGAGGTATTGGTCGCACACGACACGAGCTTACTTTTAGTTTCTGCGCGCACCACTCGAAACCACCCCTGGGGTATTAATTTCATTTCGTCAAACACCGGTAATACTACGGAACGACCCCTCGCTTTTTGTTTACTCTTATTCTCCAACCACTCTGATTCGTTTACATTTAAGTTTTTAAGATGATGCGGGACGATGCTCGTAATAGGGAAATAGTGGTTTATTTGTTTTGGGCTGGTTGGGAATTAGATTAAAGTTTGGGACGATGATTAATTAGAATTTTGTTACGTTTCATTTAATTATAATATTTTCCAGTTTTTGATTCAACTTTTGTTCAAGAGTTTTTTGAGAATCCTCATAGGAAAATAATATTTTATTTTTTTGTTTGTTAATTGTTATAAAATTAATTAGAATGAACTTTTTCTTCTTTAAAACGTGTATTTAATTATACAATTATATGTGCACAAATATTTCTAATATTCGTTATTCTAATGTTCGTTATTAATTATTAAAAAAATTATTAAAATCTTTTTCGTACAACTATTCGTCAACAATTACTACAATTATATTCGATACAGTAGAATACCTCTGTTATTCAAACATTTATTCCCTATATTCTAGTATCTATATGTTTCTAATTATTTTGTATGTAATAGTGAAAAATACTATAGGACAATTTTCGATTTTTCCACATAAGAGACAAATAATAAGATAATAATAAAATATTTTATTAAACATCTAATTGAAATATATCGGAAAATTATAAAATTTCTCACGCAAATAATTCTACGATTCAATTCTCCAAAAATTATTTTACAATTCTCTTGATAGAAGATAGAAAAAACGATGGAGATGCCATTAAAAATTGCAAGAAACGTATCTTATCGAGACATTTTTCACCATTTACGATACAAAATCAACACAATCGAACGATTTATACGACAAAAAAGAATGACAATTAAAATATACACATATAATTACTAATTCGAATACTGGAAATCTCACTGCAATTCAAAAGTATAATTTAAAAATCACAATCATTCGTTTTTCTTATTTTTCTTAACGCTATCCCCTCTAGGAACCTTTTCACGATCGTTCGACTCCCAACACTTGTCAAAATCGTTTCTAACGTCGATCAACAAACTCTGCCTACATAATTTCGAGATCGTGCTCATATTCTCCTCCTGAGCATCTTTGTTGCGTATCAATCTCGTAAACTTTAATTTATTGACAATTTTCGCGAGCGATCCTAACGGCTGAGGCTGCTTCGAGATCGATCTTGGAAGAGACTCGCATCCTCGGCTGGTTTCGGTCAAACGCACGAACGTGTCCGGATCCACGTTTATCATTCCAGCACTGGCAGATTTAACACGATCCGGTCGAGAACCGTTCGACAATTCGTTGTAATCGTTCAAAAAATGTTCCATCCTCTTCTCTTTCGTTGCCACCTCCTGTTGCTGTCCTTCCTTTTCATTCGACGCGTCTAATAACAAATTTGGGGCACAATTTGCACTACTCGACGTCTGCTTGCCGCTTCTCTCTTGATTTTCCGAGATCTGCTCGTAGAAATGGACGAACGTTCTTGGAGAATCCTCGCGTTTGACGGATGGAGGCTCCAACACGGAATGGCAAAGCGGGCCACCTCGACGAGACAAGAAATCCTCTTTCGCTCGTCGCACTCTCAACGAGTGTGATTCGACCAGGGACGATTCTTCGGAGATCGTGTTGGTTCTGCCGTCTCTTCTGGCCACTGCATTCGACAGAATCGTCAGTTTGTGGATAAGATCCGAAGATTGTGGGTCGAATCTCGAAGAAGACGAGGAGGAAGAAGAGGAAGAAGAGGAGGAGGAGGGGGAGGAAGAAGAAGAATTTTCTTTCGTTTTCTCTTCAGTTTTTAAGCTGGGCAAGCTGACTCTAAAGGAAGCTCGATTTTCTCGTTCACCTGCAATCTCTGTTTGCACCGAGACACTCCCTCTCTCGTTCTTCTTCTCGTTCGTAGAATTTTTAAATTCGATCGAGTCTCTGTCTCGCCTCGTTTGGAATATGTTATCGCCGATGGACGATTTCCTCGAGCTCTCCACAGACTTGCACCGTTTGAAATTTTGTTTCTGTTTAACTGGGGCCCGTTCCTCTTCGATTTTCGTTTCCTTCGTGTCACGATCCTTCGAGGATGGGCGAAGGGGCCACGGTAACGAAAGAGACATCCTCAAGAGGGCGTCTTGTCGGTTTACTTTAGGCGATCCCGACCTCGACTTGCTTTTGCTCTTCGTAGGAAACACGCGATCATCCTCGCTACTGTTGTTCTCCTTTTTACCAGACGAGTGATCTTCCGAACGTCGGAACGGAGAGAATATTATACGTTTCGTCCTGATGAAAACGTTTCTGGTCGATGAATTGGAGATTTGCTTTTTAGCACTTGTTTCTCGATTGATTGGAACGTCACGATCGTTGCTCGATCGATATTCATCCGTCGAATCTTCGATTGGTGCTCGCTCTATCGGCGATCTCGAGACGTTTGCTTTCTCCACGCAGCCCGTCGCCGTGGGTACGACTATTTTGTTCAGAGTTTCTTCGTTGATCACGATTCTCTCGAAGCAACGTTGGTCGCGAGATGGCGCTACCGTATATGCAGTTGTTTGAATAGTTGGCTCACGATGACGTTCGAACGAGGAGGGACTCGATAACAAGGAAGGCGAAGCAGTTTCGGTGTTACGATATTCTTGCCATTTCTTTCTTTCGACGGATTGTGAACTTCTTGTTGTTTCGTTGAAACGATCGTTTTCTTTTTCGTAGGTTGGATAATTGGTGCACGGTTTGGATGAGTCATAACGATTCGTGTCTAATTTTATTTTGGATAAGTCTCGATGAGCGCTGTCGAGTAATTCATCTCTGATTACGGTATAAGTTTCTTCAGCTTTTTTGGAATTTTTTTGATCTTGATTGGTGTAGAAACGATCTACGTCACGCGTTGCAAACTTGGTTTGCTCTAGAAATAATAAGAATATTTGAAAATTTTTTAATTTTCGAATGAAGATATTTGAATTTTAATGGAAAATGATTTTTCGTGGATATATTAAAACGTTAAAGATTTAGAAGTTTACAATTAAACTATAGAATAATATTGGATATGAGAAAAGTTTTTATGAATATTTTTTATTATTTTTAATTATCGTTTAATTTTTATATATTTTGTAATAATAAGATGTCATAATAAAAACGAGCCTTGTTTAATTTCAAATATGAAATTCACTGTAACTTCGTGATTTGAATATAAATATAACTCTTTTGTAATGTAACTTTTACAAATTGTAATACAACATTTGTAATACTGTGCAACAGTATGCAATAAATGTTTTTTTAAAGAGAATGTATTTTATTTATTGATGAAAAATTAATTAATTTTGAAATATTGAAGAAATTGACAAGGATCGTTTTCGATATAAATCCTAATCAATTATGATATTTAAATAATTACAACATACCTAATTTACAATTAATCGATGTTTTTAATAAATTCTTAGCCGTTTCATCGTTATAATTTTCCATTGATTGCAAATTCGTAAAAGAACTGGTCACGATTATTTCTTCATATTCGTTGTTGGATTTCGAAGTTTCGATAAGATTTTTTTCATCATTGATGTTCTCATCCTTTTCTATCTGTTGATAATCATATTCTTGTTCCTTCTCAATCGATAACTCCTGATTGTATCGACAGGTCGCTACTTTTGATTGTGCTATGATAAAACTTATTTCTGAAGATATTTTTCTTTCGAAAAATTTAAATTTAAATATTATAATAATTTTTCGATAAATTATAATTATATTTTTGATCATTTAAAATTTAATAGAAAATTTTCTAAAATTAAATTTATATATATATATATATGAATCAAACGAGATTTCAAGATTTCATTTATCGATATAACTTTACTTTCGTTCGTTTCTACAAAAAGGAATTTTTTACTCGACTTTCATGACCAATTTTAAAATCTTACAGAAATCTGGTATTGTTGAACTTACGATCAGATTCCTTCAGGTTCCTTTCAAGTCTATCTTCCTTTTCAGGTAATGTTACAGGAACATCTTCTCTAGAAATAGAAAAAGCTTATATTAAAATGTATAATTAATTCTTTAAAACACATTTTTTTTTATTTCATATTGCACAGTTATCTATTAAAATAAATTATATACCATGATCTTGAAAATCTCTAAAATCTTGATTTCAATAATTATCTTATTTGTTGTAATTATTTTAAAAAGTACTACAAGAATATTTAACAACATTTTATTTTAATAAATTTTATAAGACGAAAAATGACTTTACCTCTCAAAATTAACCTGATTCTGCTCCTTTCCCTCGTTTACAACGTTAAATTCCGTATCCACATCGGTCGAATAAATCGAGCTGTTCGATTTCACTGAATCTTTATCCAATTCTCGATCCGAATTATCAACGTTCTCCTTCACATCAAACATTTCCCTCTTGCTCCACGAGCTTGCAGAGGACCAATGCTCCGAATCCACGTTACTCGAAGAATTTCTCTCGTTGTCCCAAGATTTCGCCATTTCGGATTGTTCCAGGCTCAAACTGTCTTCGCTCGAGACACTTTTCCTTTGATTCCATTTTTTCGACTCCCACCGTTTCGAATCCGAATTTTCCTCTATTTCTATTAAGAATACCGGTGATGGTTCGTGACTGGATGTAACAGTTCCCAATGGTACCGCGATACTCGTCGTTTCGCTCGCTGCAACCGAGTACACGGGTGTTTGGTGTGGTTGCACCCTTTCCAGGGGACTCGCAGTTTCTTCGATCACGTCTTCGATGTCGACGATCATTGCTTCCGGCTCCGAATCGTCCATTATGTCTTCGACTATGTCCTCTGATCTCTGAGGATCGACTAGAAAGGAAATTTGAAAAATAAGATTTTTAATATTAGATACATGTTTAAATATTTTGTGAATTAATAGAATCAATACGAAAATAAATAGTTTTAATGTTAAATATGATTGTAGAAAATTTTATAAGCTTTTTTTGAAAAGTTTCTCTGAAATAAAAGTGACTATTGTAATAAAATTGGAGAACTTGTTTGAGACATAGAATCTAAATCATAAATTAAAAAAAAAAGATAATTAATAACATATAAAAACATATAAAAACATTAAGACACTAAATGTTTTTTAGTTCTAATTATTAATATTATATCTTTTAAATGTAGCTTTTTAAATACTTATAATAATCGTTATAATTCGTATAATATTATTAGAATTAGAACAAATAATACTTACTTGATTCTTGTAAATCATTTATGCGATCAGTATCTTTTAACCTGTTCGCGAGATGATCCAATGATTGTAGACTGTTCAAACGGCGTATGAAGAGTTCATTTCGATCATTTTGCTCGACCACATTGCCAACAGATTTCGACCTCTTCAAAGAGCAGACTTTGAACGATATCGGCTCGTCGCTTCCAATTTCTGAATAATTTACCATTTAAATTACGTGAAATGTTTTTTATTCGATGATTAAATAAATTTACAATCTTACTTGTTATCGGTGAATTATCCGTCGATGTTTCCATAGTTGTCTGTCTTAAGAATGGTATGTAAGAAGGTCCTAAAAGGCGGAAAGTCGAAGATGTCGGTGATATTCCACGATATTGCTCCCAGTCGTACAATTTTCTTGTGAATTCTCGCGAAATACCTTCGAATCGGTAAGATCCAACAGATGTTCGAACGAAAACTTCGTTGGTGTCATTTAAATTTTGTGTTCCATCAGCATACGATCTTAAATAAAATGTGATTATATTAGATTTTTTTTTTTAATATTTGGAATTATTGGTAATTTATAAATAACTTTTCATTTAACTTTTATTTGTACATTTTAATATTGATTTATTCCATTAAAGATCAATATTTCTTACTTAAAATTTTTTTCATTTATATATTCAAATTTTTTAATATTGTGGATTCCTATGCAAAGAAAATCCATAAATTTATTAATATTTTCTCTTTTTCCAAGAAATTTTCTATCCCTAGTTTTTCCAATATTTATATCTATGAAATTTAATATAAATTTAAATATAATATATATATATATATTTAGAGTTTTATATTAGAATATATATATGTTGTTAGATTTCTTATTTTAATCTTATAAATTACTAATATAAAAGATTATTTATAAAAATCTGTTATTTTATTTAACATAATTTTTATATAAATTTTTTCAGTATCTTTTTTAATTTAATATTTGTCTTTTATCATATTTCAATATTCTTTAATTTAAGTATATTTTTTATTGACTTTCTTTTTATATTATATTTTTTTTAAATTTGATTAATTTTTATTTTAAATGTTTATTATGTTTCAATCTTTCTAATTTGAATAATTTTAATATTAAATTAATTGTAATAATTTATTCCTATTAAATTTTTAATTAGCATGTTTTTGTATGATTTTAATGTATAGAAATTAACAATTAAAATACATTATGTTGTACTTTAATTTTCGCGCGAAAGTGAATAAATTCTCTATTGTTCCAGCCAATCAAAAAGCTCCTAAGGTCCAACGGCTAGACAAATCATATGTATGGCGTCAGTTTGCTGTCAAGATCGTAGGAAGAGTGTACGTTAAATCGACATAAAGATATACAAGTGTTCTATGTAAAATTTGATATTATTGTATAATTTTTAGATTATTCTGTGTATAGTGCTATTGTTTAATTGAAATGTATATGTTTAATCATTCATCAAGTATTATTATATCAATATTAACTTAACTTTTGAACTTTTTTGTCGTTCTTCATTGTTCGTGCATTTAATAGTTACAATTACCGGTAGTTCGTATTATAAACATTTGAAATCGGATTTGAATTTAATTATTATTAATTTATTTTAATATTATTTTAATTTTATACATTTGTTTTTATAATTATGACTTTTATGTGTATAGATTATCATTTAATTATTGGAATGGCTTCGAAAGTGCAATAGGTTATGCACATGTAATGACTTTCATCCAAATATGGTTAGATTTGATTTATTTCAACAAAAGACATACAATAACTACTATAATAATAATACTATAATACATTATAAGAATAAAATATACTATAATAAGTTTCTTTTGTTTTCATTTGTTTTCATTTGTATGGAAGTAAAAATTCAATATTTTTTTCTTAAAAATGCATATATCGCTACGTTGAACTCGAATTATTTGTTTTGATTTTATGTTCAAGATTGATTTTTTTATAATTTAATTTTGGAAATTGACAATATATTTTTGTATTTGTTTTGATATTATGTTTAAAATAGAAAATATTTTTTCAAATATAGCTTTTTCAGAAAAATGACTGTTGACGTCGACATGTATCACTCTCGATATTCGACTTTTTATCGATATATCAAGCAAATCGTTGATGAATCGCGGCGCAGAATATCATTTTATTAAAAATCATGGCGTTTAACTGCTTTATTTCAGGTGCGTAATTAATTTATAGCATAATACTTATTTCCATAATTATTATTTTACTTTTTGTATAATATTATTTAATTAATACATTTTATTCAATAATTTATTAAATATTATTATAATTTGTAATTTTTTAAGAAATAATTTACTTTTTTCCCTTGATTAACTTATTTATCATTAAAGTTACCTGTAATTTGTGTTATAAGCTTCAAAAATTGGATTCCAGTTTAATTATTACCTTGTTTTAATATAACTAGTTCTAATTTTATATATTTTAAAGATATATACTTATTTTAAAAATTTTAGAAGCTAAGTGACAGTTGATTGATGGAACTATTAAGATAAAAATTTCAATATGAATGCATAATGAACATTTTTACATGTTCATTCTTCAATAGACATGATGACTAATCTAATGATAACTTATTATGGTAATATTTAATTAGAAATAAAAAAATATTATTATTTATCTTTGTTAAATAATTCATAATATATTAATTACATTACTAGCATAAAAGACATTAAATAAATTACATTCTTATTTCAAAAATATTAAATTATTTTTTTTTTGTCTTTTTATTTCATCTTCTTATATAATTTTATTTTCAGAGAAATCTTGTAACCGCGTGCAATGCGGTCAATAGAGCCAGTGTTTACTTCGTAATAGTATTTTCAGTACTTTTTAGAATAGGATAATTTAAAAAATTAGCTATTTTAATTCAATTATTTAATTATTTAATTATTTAATTATTTAATTATAATAGTCACTCGCGAAATTAGAATCAGTGTTTATTCATCGATTATAATTCAAATAATAGTCTTTTATTTTTATTTTTTTTTTTTTTAAATATTCGTCTTCGGTATATTAGAATCAGTGCTTCGAAAGATGATTATCCATCATTAAAAAAGGTAATTATCTTTATATATTTAAAGTTTCATTTTTTTTCACGTTAAATTTTTAAAGAATCATTATATATATCATTTTATCATTATAATATTTCATTTTTTATTATAGTTTTCACTTTCTTCTACTTGACAACGACTTCATGATTATATATTGGTTACATCCTTACATGGATTACGACATTTATGGCGATTCTCATCTACGGTGAGTCGCATGTATTTTGATTCCTGCGGTCATTCAATCATGTCATAGGATGAAAGGTCCGAATCGACACGGATGACTGGTTGTATACGTAGAATTTTGCATGAGCACAGTGACCGCGGGTATTTATTATACCCGTGAGTAGTAACATTTCCTTTTTCTGTGTTTTATTTATTAGTTTAGGCTAGGTCTTCTTGTACATCGCGTTTTTAAATATTAATAACTTTTCAAATTAATTATCTCAAATTAATTTATTGAAATCTATTGTAAGTATATTTATTTGAAATATTTGCAATAGTAATTATCTAAATATATGAATATTTGTGATATTATTATATGAACATTTTTATTCTTATCTTTTTCTTTATAAATAATATTCTAAACATGATTTTCAAGATAATAAAGATAATAATTGTATTCCTTTCGTTTAAAAATATGAAATATTATGTATAAGAAGACACTTCGCGACAGGCAGATTTTAAAATCAAAGTTACAAATTATGAATAATTCTTTCATATTTTCGAATTATGTGCTTTGATAGAAAAGTCGCCTATTTTCATTAATATTTAACTTTTTTAAAATCAACTTCATTGCATTTTTTAATATATATATTTTCTTTTAATTAATAATTCTTATTTATAAAATTTCAACAATACATTACACTAATAAAAATTAAAATATAAAGTAGATTCAATAAAATTTACAATATTGATCAAATGATACAAGATCAAAGTTCATTAGCTCGATTACATATAGAATATTTATCTAATATTCTTTTTAGCTCAGGATTTTCAGATTTAACCCTTTCCATGTCAATTGTCAGGATCTCACTCACGTGCCCAGATGCTACTTGAGCGAGAGAAAGGCGATAGGCATGATGACCCTAGTTCATAACAATTTCTTCAAGCGATTGACGATGTGTTAGTGTATCGTGCACGATGTACTTTCCACATTATGTGTATTTGGTTAGGCTGTGGAATTGCGTTGTTTCATCAATAATATTAATTATTAATCCTACTATTTAATTATAATAGAATGATATTATTCACATTACTTAAATAACACGATTTGTTCGAAACATGTATATTTTTTTCAATAAACACGAATATTTTACAATTAAAATCAATATACACAATATATACACAATACTTTATTATCTTTTTTTACGCAATGGTCACTAGCCATAGTCGATTTCAGGAAAACAGTATGTACAATTAGAATATACGTGTAGTGTGTCTCGGGTGTCGGAGGCGTCCCGAGACGCTTTCCCTGTGTAGGCTTTTGCGCCCGAGTATTATGAGTGAGAATCGTTGAATGAGTGTGTGGTGTGTCTATTTTGCCATTTCTTTTAAGTTTCAGCGGGCATTGCGCCCGAAGAAAGAAGACCGAAGAGGCCCGACAAACTGTCGCGAAGAGGGCTGCAACGAATGGCTTCTCATCTTTTGGATTCTTTTTAAGTCCAAAGAATGGGAAGTCATTGTTACTACTTTGTCACTGTGCTCGTTTTAATAATATGTAGTAATTGTTGTTGTGTTGTCTGGCTAATGCATGCTAGCTCATCATCCAATTATCATGGTATCAAACTATGGTAATTATCAATTATTTTTCATTTTCATAAAAAAATAAAAAGGTAAGTATCCATGTAGGTTTCTTTTTTAATATATGTTTGCAATAAATCATTGTTTTACTAAAGGAAGAATTAATTTGAATATAAATAAATTTTCGTGCAAAAAGAGGATAAGATAATATAAAATTTCCAGTGAGAGCTATTTTTGAAAATTATTACTATTTAATATATAATCATATTTGTATATATTTGTATATATCTTTTAATATAAGTGGTACAATTATATATTTTATAAAAAATAATATAAAATATAATTGGCCAATTATTTTTTGTAGATAAGAAATTCATTAATTAAGGTGAAATTCATTAAGGATAAATTTCTCATATTACTTACTACTTATTCTCATAAAGTAGTAATAATAGATATAGTAAGAATAAACCATCAGCGCCATTTCTTGAGTACTAAAAACATTTCTTTAAATACCAACTAAGTTTTAAAAGTACTTTAGAGATGACTCTGATCCTTAATTTTTACTCTACCTTATCTTGCTTTGAAAAGATATCTCATACTTAAAGTAGTGCTGGCAATCATTTCTTATTCTTATCCTTTTTCTAATATTTTTATCCTTTATATTTTATTTTTATCCTTTTTCTAATATTTGCTTTTCTTGTTTATGCTAGTTTCATTTAATTTTTAATCTATCTTTAACAATCACACAATAAGAATACATGCATCTTACCTTGCATCCCCATCGAAGCACTCGTCCAATTGTTGAACATCACTGTCTCGTCGTTCCTTACTCGTATTATTGTTGAAAAGCGACAGTAACCTTTCCAAAGCGAGAAACTCGCTTTCGTCGATTCCAGTCGCAATCCCAAATTGTGACTTGGTACGTGTTTGAGTTTTCGCATCGCAATTACTCTCGTTCGTTCTCTTCCAAGATTCCATTTTTCTCGGATAATCCTCACAAACTTGCGTTCTCCCATCGTTCACGGTCTCTCCGCTTTCACCACCAGCGAAACTGAAGATTTCTTTATTTCTGAATTCGGTTTTCAAAGGAGATCTCCAAAGTTGCCAATCCGTTAAACGACGTCGATTCAGCCTCTGCTGCAGCACAAATGGGGCACTTCCTCTTCGTATTTTTTTGGCGCGTTTCCAGTCTTGCAATTTTTTCCTGAACTCGGGTGCTAATCTTTCTTCCGACAGCAAGCTTTCTCGAGGACTCGGTAAATTCGAGGAGGTTTCTTTCGTGGAAACACGGGGTGGAAAATTTTTTAAACGCTCCCACTCGATCAACTTTTGATGGAATTCGGTTCCCAGTTTCTCTCTGAGGGCGCGGTAATCTTGTCTCGTGTCTTGCGACGGTGTGTTGGAAGGTGTCGTTTTCTCCATATTTTCCACGCTGTCGTAATTGCTACTTATCGAAGTTTCGAAACCTGATGAATGAGAAACGAAATTATTGCTTTTTTCAATAATAATAATTAAACAGTGATTTAATCTAGAATATTCAGGTAATGTCATGTTACTTAAAATATATTTAAAAATTTGAGGATATGCATACACGTAGTACATAATATATTACATATATGTTTAAAGCATTAGTTTATTATATTCTTTTTTATAGTTTTTTCATTAGTATTTACAAAAATTAGTTGGTTGAAAAAAATTGTTCTACATCACCCAAAAACATATTTATTATTTTAGTATATGTATTGGAACATTCTTATTATAGGATATATATAGGATATTCTTCTATAGCTGTGACATATTCAGAATTTTTAAGTATTTAACATTTTTATTCATACAATAAAACTAATAGGAGAAGAAAAATATGTCTCATTATAAAAAGAGAAAATTAAAGAAATTTATAGAATAAAACTTTGTCGAAGTAAATTAATTCTAAATTTCGTTTACAGTAATATTTTATTCAAATATAAATACAATAAAAATTTGACTACATTATACATTAGAAGAATTCAAATTCTTTAAATCTAAAACCCTAAATAATTTTTTAAAAATAACTAGAAAATTTTTTATATATTTCAAACTTCATTGTGCATATATTTTCTTGAATACACGCGAATACCACGTTTTCTTTTGTCGCAAGAAAAATCGATTAGTTGCTGTATTCCTTATTCGTACCATGGCATGTCGAATTTGGCATGTTGGCCACAAAATTAATCGTTCCTATTACTCGAAGAATTCACACTAATATTTTTAAGTTTTTATTACGTGATAATCAATGCGGAAGGGAGGCGTGTAAAAATCTGAAAAATGTTAAAAAAGAAAAAGTAACGTTCAAATGTAAAGAATACGAGGAAAAACTTGCTAAATGCCCAAAACGAGTAAAAGAATGTAAAGATTCGCCACAATCTCCATCGAAAGTAACGAACACTTTCATTCATCCATTATTTTTTTCAATCGTTTTTATGCCATTGTTATCCAAAATTGTCAATATAAAAATTTAAATTTCATTTTTTCATTCATATTTTTATCACTACATTCGTATTAAAATTTTTGTCTCATTAATATTTTGTTGGTAATAAAAATTCCAAATTTGAAATAGAATCGATAATAAATATGTCAAATATACAACGATTTGATTGAATTTTTTTTTTTTTTTTTTTATAAGAAAATACGAAATTTTATTTCGAGTAGAGAAGATTTATATTTAGATATTGACAAGGATCAAATCAATATTGGACGATTTTAGAATAAGTTTTTATTCTAAATCTAAATAATTATTCAAGTATGATTTATCTTAAAGAATATTATTTAAATAATATTAATATATTTGAAAGGAAAATTACTTCGATATTTGGTATTCTCGTTTTATTTGATAATTGGATATTTGTTATTTGATTTCATTACAAAAATATAGGAATATATTTTTATCTCCACTTTTCCATTTCTAACAAGATAAAATCTGAGTTTCTTATATATCAGGAACTATTTATCATCATTATCATTCAATTTTGTATTCTTATCTTTTTTATCTTCTATTATTATTTCAAATAATCAAACACTTGACAAATGAATCATTTCAACTGATCTCTCGGACAAGATTTCAAATATTTTTATTTCAAATTGACCGATCATTTTTCATCAAAGTTGTCCAATCCCAAATCGAATCAACATTTCAGACATCTTATGCAATCTTGCAAATTTCAGTGCGATATAAAAAATGTTACCGAGGAGTATCAGAAAATATGCGACGATATAACGGAACGAGCGGAAAACCTTTTGCAAAATATTCGGAAAACATCGAAGACTATGATAAATCAATTGGCACAGGATATCGAATCGACGAAGAACAAAGAGCAGATGATGTTGCAAGGGTTGTTGCATGATATAAAGAAAACTCTTCAAAAGTTACTAGCCCTTGATCCAATGTTCGGTTCCCATAAAAGGAAATCTGTCATGTATTTGAACAACGAGGTCCATCAAGCTTTCAACGACGTGGAACAGAACTCGATTCCTCAAATAAATCGGATGATAGAGATCGTCGATAAGTTAGAGGGCGACGTGTTAGCCTGTATCGACCGAGCCAAGTCTCTAATATTCTCGTGTAAAAAGTGTAAAACTTCCGAATCGTTGGCGAAATGCATCGACGAAAATGCGAAATACGCGACGAAGATATTGGACAAAGCGTCGCAGAATGCGGAGAACAGCTTGAACGAAATGGAATCATTGAAACGCGAAACTTTGAACTATCACAAAGCGACTTTGCACTGTATCTCGCGAAGGTGTCGGAAGGATAGCGAAAAATTTTTGACCCATTTGAACAATTGCGTTTTGAGCGTTAGAAACGGAAAGAAAGGAGGATCGCGTTAATTTTTAAAAACAGGAATATATAGTGGCGTGAGTAAATTGCCGTTTCGTTTGTTAATTACCATCTTGAAAGAGCGTCTGTCTGGGAACGTTGAGGTTCGATGGCACGTTTGGGGTTGAATTCGTTAGAAATGCTCGCCTGACCTTGTTCCATTTCGAGTCTTGCCTCTGCATCTTCGACATCAATGTTTCTCCACCGTACGATTGCTGTGCATTGAAACGAAAGTTAGTTGTGAAATTTAGTTTAGAAAAAAGCTCAAAAACTACAAACTGAATCTCTTTTTTCTTTTTTTTTAAACAAATTTTACTTGTTTTTTATAAACTATATATACTCGAGATAATTTTAGGAAAATATTTTTTTCTTCATTTCAACGTTAATTTTTCTTTTACATGTTTATTAATGTAATTATATACACATGTATATTTTAAATTTTACTTTTCGTTACAAATTAATCGTTATATGACTTTTTTTGTACTCAAAGAAAGATTCAAGTGTAATAGTTTGTATAAAGAATTCAACGCATAGGGTGTTCTGTAAAATGTACTATTATCGAGAACGCGATAGAAAAGTAATGGAAAATAAATAATGTAATCAGAATTAAAAAGTCATACTCTGTGCATAAAATAATTCATTTTATGAAGAAAAAATTGACTTATCCTACAATCTTTAATCATCGAATCGAGATTGTTCGAATTTTTCAATTTCTTTCTTCTTTTCTTTCTATTTTAAATAAAAGTGAGTGAAAATTTTTTATAATAATACGAGAGAACTTAACAACAATTTGCTTAGTACGAGACTTGTAATAAGAAAAAGAAGAAATCTTACTAACCTGTCGTTTAAAATCGTTCTTCACAGATTGGTCTCGATACGTTTTCCTGTGTTGCGGAGAATTTCCGGCAGAGGCGTTCGCGTTGAAAAAGAGCGGTGAGCTCGATTCTGGGGACGATGTGTATCTTATATCCTCCTCGTGCGAAGGTATTGCAATCGTTAATGTCGGAGTTGATCTTTTTGATATCGATTCTACATCCTTCTCATCCATTTTACCCGCGTCACTCTTGTCCGATGTGATTCGTATTAAAGGCTTCCCTTGGCTAGCCTAGTTGTAAAAACATTCGTATTGTAATATTCGAATAAGTAAGTAAAAAAGTATTTTCGAGATGAATCGTTGTTTTCGTAATAATATTACGAGAGTGAACGTCCCGTTTGAAAATTCGAATTAAATTAAATCTATCTAAAATGCTGTAAAAATTTTGTTAAATGACGTAAAAAGTATCTTCATTGATATAATAATATCGTGTGTATATTATAATATATATATATATTATTCCAAGAAAATAATAAATTTTATTTCGAATAATAATTGGTATATATGAAAATATATGTGTAAATTTATATAACTGAATAAAGTGATACGATGTAAAATAATTAAAACAAATTTAATCTTTGTTTTGTAATTATATGTATATATGTATTAGTTCAAAAATTATGGAGAATTTTATTCGATATTTACCTCATTTGTTATTTCTGTCTCATGGGGTTGCAAACTATCCATAAGAATATTATCATCAAGGGATTCGCTATGCCAATTTGCAAAATCCGCTTTTTTATTAGCTTTTCTCTTTAAAGATTGGCAATCCACTTGGTTTGTTCCAACTTTTTGACCTAGAAAAATTTGAATTGAATCACTAATGTTTTACCATTGTCCGTATATTACTATAACAAAATATAGAATATTCCACTTTTGTTTATTGTTTATTTCGGAATAAATTTTTTCCTAAAACGTAAAGAATATGTACATTTTTTTTAATACATCATTCTTTGATCATTCCTTCCAATTTATTTATTTTAATTTCGATTTTACGTAACATATATACGTAACGTAACACCATCATAGAATATACGAAAGGCAACTTTCATTCTTTCATCAGATTGACTATGAATTATATCCAACAAATATAAGCGGATATATTCTACATATTCGATCGAAAGGAAAGGAAATTTAGGAAATTTCGTACAATCGTAAAATCCATCGTTGGACGAAGAGGGCGAAGAGGTTCGAGCGACAGGCGTTCCCACGTTGCAATTCTCGTTAACAGGCGACGAAGTTGCGGTGTTGCTCGATTCCCTGGCATCGACATCATGATTCCTATGATTCTGCTTGCTAGCCGGGGACAACGAGGAGGGGGGAGCCATGCCCGAATCCGTGTTCTCGGTGTCGTTAGTGTAAGCCCTTTCCCACTTAAACGCGGCCTTAACTCTCGTCCATTTGGAGACCTTGGGCGCGGTTCCAGAAATCTCGTCCGCCGACGTTTGCTTGACGTCGATGTCCAATTTGTTGTTCCTCGATGCCTGCCTCGGACCCGACCTCGCCCCCCTCCTCTGGAACGGGGAATCCCTGCAATTGGACAGCATAGCGTCGAGCAACGACTCGGCGAACCCGGTGTCCTCTTCGCACGCGCTCCCCGCCGTCGCCGCCCCGTTGCCGCGCGCGAAAGCGTATTCCAACTTTTGGTTCGCGTCCCTCAACACCTTCAACCGTTCCAGATTCCTCACGCGCTTGAAAAACTTCGCGTTTCGATCCCTGAGCTCGAGAATCTGGTCCACGAACGCGTACAACCGGTCCAAATGCTCGAAAGCGTCTTCCGCGTAAACGCTTGAAATAGCCATCGCGGACACGGCAGAATTTCTCGAGGGGCACCCCGACGGGGTTCGCCCCTCGAACGGCGGCAGCGAGCCGAGATCGTCCGTCAAGTAGGCGATCATGTCCTCGTCCTCGTCCAGGCTCCGGCTGTTCCTCCCCGCCTCCACCTGCTGGTCGCGGGAATTGTTGTGCAGGCTGGGCCAGAGATTGGCCCACGGATCCGGCGGTGGCGCCGGCAACTCGCCCTCGCACTCCACTTTGCGTGGCCTCGTCGTGGGCCTCGGTTGCGCTCTTTGTTCGCTGTTGCGGCCGCACGATCCCCGATTCCCGTTCCTCTCATGCCCAAACGCTTGATCGCCAAATTTCTCATTCTCAGCCATCTGGTTCTATGCGTTTGCATATATGTATATGGATGATTTATATTTACTTTTTTTTCTCGCTCGATTGTGTTATCGATGCTCTAAATATATCGGAGTTGAGTTTAATTTTAGAGTACATTCTTCTTTTCCTTTCGCGGATTTAGATACGAGTTTAGCCACCCTCCGCGCCAAAATTTAATATATTCGCGTGTAAACATGTGATTCAGTGTTTCCCAACACTGTTTTCTCCGAGGATGGAATTTTACGATATTTTTTCACGAGGTGAATTCCACTGAGAATCCTCGATATTCGTAAATAAGGATATTTTTCGTAGAGAATTGGGAAACGCTGAGATGTAATAATACTGTGTAACGAGGTTTGTTCGAGTCTATTTTATATTTATTTTTAAATCAAACGCGCATCGTCGTAGAAACGATATCAAATACACCTCTCTCCCTGTTATATTTTATTTTTAAATTTTTGACACATCACTAAATCATCGTAAAGATCACCATATAACTTTCGTACAACGAATTACACAATTCCAAAATACTATTATCTACATTTACAACACGTAGAACCGAACTTGAATTCACTGTACTTGCTTAAAAAGTCGAGGAATCGTGAAGCATTTTTCCTACATTTTCCACTCTCTCTCGCGTCTTTCGCATATCGATAGAAACATGCTCGACAGATCCTTCATTTCTGTTGATCTAACACGCGCGCACAGGATCGATATTTTACCATTACATCGAATTTTATTGTTTCGTGGGAGGACGGGATACGATGGAATTAACTCTCTGAGCGCGAATATCTCGAAGGTTCACGTTGGGAATGCATTTTTTGGCGGTGTCGGGAGGGCCGCGGAAGAAGTAGCGGTCCGAAATCGCAGCAACGTCCTCGCGTGATTATTTTCGGTAGCGAGCATTCGGCATTCGGTATTTACAACGAATACAACGACACACGGCCAGGCTTCGAACACCGACGCTCGAAGGGGCATGCGCGTGGCGCACGATAACCGTGGAAAAGAGACGGCTCTTCCTGTTCTCGTCGAAAATAGACGGTGGAAACACTATGGCGCGCGTATCCTCTCGAATGGCCGCCCACGTTCGTATTTATACGCGTCTGCATACTCTCTCTGTAGTGCGGTGTGTTTCTCGAGGCAACCCCTTTTTATAATAGACAAACAAATTATAGAGAATACTTGTTCGTTTTTTCGCCGTAGTGAAATTTTTGTTTGTTAATAAATTTTATTCAGCGAACGATATTCGAACGATATTTTTTTTTCCTTTTTTTTTTTTTTTAGTAATGCATTATCCGATTATTATGAATTTTGAGCATCATTCTAAAGGATTAATCGAATTGAGATGTATTAGGTTTTTGTTTCTTTGTATTTTTATAGGAAGTATACGTTATTATGAAATTAATTATGAAGTAGAATGACATTGAAGTGACCTCAAGGGACTTTGTTCGTGAGCTGAATTTGTTTTAATTAATTTTCCGTTACATTTTCGAGTAATTGTTGTATTGTCGAGTATTATTAGATTAAATTATATAATGTTGATGGCAAATCAATGTCTCTTCGTTGTATTTTATCCTTAATAGGTTGTTTCTAATGTGTCGTCTTGTAAGTTTGTATGATTAATTCAAAAATGATTGACGAGATGACAAACAAAATTGCAGTTTTTAATGAAATGGGGTCGCCATTAATGAAAATTAGATAAAACGAGTTAAGCTCACAAAGAAAATGAAGAGTCGTTTGATTGATATTGTAATATCTCATTCAAGTAATATGAATATAAATGTGAACTTTATACTTAAGAAAAGAAACTTGAAATATTATTTATATTTTATCTTAATTTATGCGATATTTAATTTGAATGTATAATTAAATGCCTGATATATAAATTGAATACATCAATATATAAAAATTATTAGGTAATTATTATTTTTTTAAAAATAGTTTTTGATTCATTTCGTGAAATTTTTTCATATATGTATATTTAATTAAAAAAAATATATAGTTGGTGGGAAAAGTTATATAAAATCCTGTTATATAAAGAATCTGATTATATTTGATGTGTGACACTAAACAAAATTTCTTTGTGATTACATAAAGACAAATTAAAAATTATAATAGGATATATTTATAGATTTATTTTTACGAATGAATTCTTAAGTTAAAATATCAACACGCAAAAATTTTTAATTTTTTTTTCAATGTAAAAAAATAATAAATGATTAAATAAAAATAACAATTTTCCAAAAATTATGCTTTGATGCTTTGCAATAGCATCAGTTAAGAAATACACTTTTCTCATATCATGTGATATAATATAATACACGAAATCACTCTTATTTTCATTACGAAGAAACTTTTAATAAATTGATAAAACTGTTGACATTCAAATATCGATAATAATCTTTTCTAGATACTCGAAACTTCGAAATTTCGAAACTTTTTAGAATCGAGTCTTTTTTATAGACTCGAAATAAATTTTATCTATATTTTTTTTTTCTCTCTTCTTTAATGTCGTAAATACTTCGAGATGAAAAAATTTTTTTCGAAACTTTTACGATTTTTTTTAATCTCGCACATCGTTTCAGAACATTTACAGAAGATACTAACGTATGGAATACTAATTTCGTATTAAATTATCGGACGAAGCAATAAATGGAACGAGTTATTTCAGTAATTGAATACTTGATAAATATTCGAAAAGCCGAACTTTGAAATAATAGATTTCTATTATGATTTCATTCTTCGCTGGTATATAGCATTAGAATATTGTGTAATCTTTGTGTATAGATTGCAGACATATTTAACACGCGCGCAATCACGTTAAATCATTTTCTTAAAATATCAGAAATAATTTTCAAAGAATTCCACAGTAAATAAATTTCACAGCGATCGTATTATAATTAGATATTGTTTATCAAATATATTCTTAATTAAATCTTATTTTGCTAATTAATAATAATTATAACGTGCAAAAAGAAAAAAGGGTTTTTTCGTATAATCCATTTTTTATATAAAAAAAAAATTTTTATTCTCTCCATAGTAGATTTGTAATACATTATGCTCACAATCATGATGCAATAAAAGTAATAATTCATAATTTATCAAGATTATATAAGACCATAGAAGAATGTTAACGAGTTATTCTTGCATCGGTAACCGGGTTAGATCAGTCATTCGTGATCCTGCAACGGCAGCGCCTGGAATCATTTAGGTTCGTTAAAATTTTCCCAAGAAAACCTTTTCTTTTTTTTTATTTCTAAAAAAAAAAAAAGAAAAAGTTAGAGAAAAATAGAAAATTTTCTTTCATTTACTCATTAAAATTCCCAACATAACGATGATGCTAGAAGCGCACTGTACATTTAGAAATAATTTACTAAAACTACCGACCAAGTATGGAAATATTCTAGATAAACCGATGATCGTACCCCTGAAACGAAACCGAAATGATTTAACAAAAATTTCACACGTGCGAGAGAGATAGATATACCCATCCATTTTTCACAAACTGTTTCATAATTAACCTTACGCCAGTAAAATAATTTTCCAATAAGATTATCGACGCTGTTGTACGACCAATTACGTAAGTTGCTAATATAATCAGTAAAAGAACGAGTTGTATTACGTTATGAACTGTAAACAATAAGCCCAGGCATGCTGTTGCTCCCACTACACCCGAAAACACTGAAAAAAAATAAAGTTAATTTTAAAGTTGTGGCAACGAACGAATAAGAAAGAAGTTGATTTTATATATATATATATATATATATATATATATATATAAAATATATTATATATATATTATATATTATATATATATTATATATTATATATATTTTATATATTATATATATATTATATATTATATATAATTATATATATATATAAATATTGTATGAATATATATATATATATTCATACAATATTTGTTATTGAAAATTAAGTATTATAAGACGATGATACGTTTACCTAGAAATATTTTTCTACCCACAACATCGATTCCAATTACCAATAAAATTTCTGCTACTAAATAGCTCAATGATAAATACAAAAGCATTCGAAAACGATCCATGTCTACCTCTTGACAATTACGCAAAAACCCTAACGCCATGTCTTCTATATCAATGGCGCATGCGTATTCCTTCTTTGACGATTTGTGTAAATTCTCGGTTTGCTGTAGGATTTGTGCACTCCAGAGAGCAACCCACATAATCCTAATTGTTATAATTACTAATCGTTAAACTGAAATTGATTTTCTAAAAAATCTCGAAAAAAAAAAGATATTGGTATGGAAAATATGTGGAAATTAATGTAAACACTATAAGATGAAAAATATAAATAATATTTTACCCCGGAAATTGTAGAAAATTAGTACAAATTCCTAATATTGTAGTATATTTAAATGATTTACATATTTCTTGAATACGTTTATACGTTTTAACACAAAATTTATGTATCGTTTTGATCATATTATTCGTTTCCTCGTCTTCCTCTTCAATTTGTTTAACACAGTTTTCCAAATTGCTTAGCTAGAATAAAAAAAAAATATCGTTATGTATTACATTAAATATTTAATCATTTAATTTATAAACACGGATATGCATTTATGCAAAATTTAAAATATAGGATATTAATGTTTATAAAAATTTGATTTTGCATAAAAATCCGCGATGATACTTGTGAGATTAATAGAAAATGAACTGTACTGAAAGTACGAAAGTATCGACGTGTTTCGAATTATTAATTGCATAAATTTGTCGTAATATCGATAATGCTTCCTCATGCCGTCGCCGATAAAGCAAATATCTTGGACTTGCCGGCAGCAAACTAGTCGCACACGCTATAATCAAATTTGGTATACCTCCTAATCCTGTAAGGACTCGCCAAGAATTTGGTCGAAATTTTTTATTTTGGAATAATAAGATCGAAGGCATTAACAGCCATGACATTCCTGCGAATTTTAATGTTTTAATTTTATCCTTTATACTTCTCTCTATAATGTAATAATAAATACAAGTTTGATACGTATTTATAAACACTAGCCTAAAATAGATATGTAACTAAGGATTCCTAATACATCCAAAATAACTAAACAAAAACCTCTTCGTTTCATGGGCAGTAATTCGATTAGATATACTCTTAAAACCACATTATTACCAGCTAATCTGAAATAAATGAATGTTTTTATGCTCTTATGTATATGTTAAATGTGTTGTGCATAGGAAAGATAGATGATAATATTTTTTTAATTATCGAACAATTTTAGAGATTTATTATTATTATTATTTAAATCATAATTATTAAGCAATATATTTTATAATTTCATAAAAATTTACGTGATTAGATAAACTTACCCTAATCCAAGTATAAATGTTGAAATGTATATCAGAAATGTAGTTTGCGCAAAGGATAAACTGATAGTAGCGCAAAATACAACGATCATAGTAATAGGAATGGAACTCTTACGTCCACTTGCATCGATTATTATTCCGAATAGAAATCCTCCTACAGCCATTCCTATACACAATCTTATTATTCGTAAAATATACTGTAAATCATTTCAAATATATATATATATATATATTAATTTATCATAAACATATTAGAAAGCTTAGAAATAACGGAACTGTATTTGCCATTGAATTGAAATCTCACGACCCTGAGTGATTCATACTAGTGGCAATGACTAGTGAAATTTAATGAGGAATAATTTCCGGATAAGAAATCGAATTACATATTCCTCAGCTATAAAATGAATAATGATGAATCATTTTATTGCGTATCAGTGAAATATTCTTCTATTTTTTCAATGAATTGAAAATTTGAATTATATCTTCATTATTCGAATTTTTGTAATAATAGAAAATCTAATGAGTGAATCACTGTTGCATGAGCAATGAAAAAAAAAAAAATAATTGAATAAATATGAATAAATAATTGAATAAATAAATTATATAAATATAGTTTGAAATATTAGAAGTTATTTTTATGAATCTTAGTAGTTCACTTATAATTATTATTTCATAAAGATCTAATCAGAAATATCAAGTGTAAAAAAAATTTCATGTCTTTAGTTTTATCATTTAGAACAACACTTTAAATTGAATTATCATAGCATTGATATTTAATTTTTTTGAAATGATTTGATGATTAGGATGGCGTATTCAATCTCACGTTTTTATTAATTATTAGTTTTATAAATAATTTTTTGTTGTCAATTAATAATTTCATCGGTTTGTCATATATTGTTAAAAAATATCTACGTACATACATTCTATATGTACCTAATGTTAACGTAGCGTGCACAGTAGTTGCTTGGCTTGCACTTAGACTTAAATCACATGCCATGAATGGAACTACAATTAGAATAGTTGGAAGAACGCAAGCTTCTGCAATTGCACACATGCCACATAATCCAATAATAAAACAGTGAAAGAGACCACATCCTGTAATTGAATTATATTAAATAATATTATTCCCGTCATACATTGAACTGTATATAGTTTCCTAATCTTTTTTACGATTGTAGGGACACATTTTAAAAATAGTTAGGTTTCTATGACATTATAATTATTAGAATATTAAATTATCGTTTGAAAGATTATAATAATACTTTAACATTTAAAACTAAAATGAAAAAGTCAAATTTTGAATTATAATTGTAAATATTATATCATAATAACAAATATTATTCAATAAATATTAATATTTTAAATTTATCGTCTTCCTTTTTTAGAAATTTACTATTTTAATATTAAAATATTTTATGAATTTCTTAACCTGTTTTAGCAATGACATTTTCACAATTATTAGACATTATATATTTTATAATTTAATGATAAATATTGATTTACATAAGTCCATTTGTTATATTGAGAAGCCATAAAGATGTATATACATTATTTTATCCGTAATTAATGTCAATTCAATAATTTCCAATCTCATACTTTCAAAATTAAATTGCTAACAAAAACCATTCAATAGTTAATAATGACAATCTTCATTTTAAATATGTACGATTGTATATATATTTACAATCATTAAACAAAAATAAAACTAGATAATGAAATATATTATTTAAATGAGTGATTAATGGATAGAAAAATACACAATGTATGAAAGATACTTATTTATTATAAGAAATGAAAATAGTTGATATTGAAAATATAATTAATGTTATGATTTTAAATTATATACCATGTTTATTACAAAACAAGTTTTTGATTGATTTTAAAAAATGTAATATTTTACATAAATGACAGTTTTAATAAAGTATAGAAATTTCTTTCTTTCTTTTTTTCATTTATGTATCTTTAAAATATTCTTTAGAACCAACTACATCAGGTTTCATAGTTTTCTTTCCTGGTTTCCAGCCTGCTGGACATACTTCTCCATGTTTATCAGTATATTGGAATGCTTGGACTAAACGCAAAGTCTCATCAACAGATCTATAAATATATAAATTTATTAAGATAAAATATTATATATTAGATATGTAAAAATATTAGTTTATGTGAATTTTACCTGCCAACTGGTAAGTCATTAATAGTAACTTGACGTAAATTTTGTTTATCATCTATGATGAAGAGACCACGAAATGGAATTCCACTTTCTTCATCAAGTACGCCATAATCACGTGCGATCTTGGAACTTTTATCAGCAAGAAGAGGAATGTTCATTTCACCAAGACCACCTTGCTTACGTGGTGTATTTACCCATGCTAAATGACTGAAGTGAGAATCAGTAGATGCTGCAATGACTTTACAACCAATTTGTTCAAATTCATCAGCACGATCAGAAAAGGCAATGATTTCAGTGGGACAAACAAATGTACTGCAAAATAAATTATCATTTTTTGACATATGATACATAATTAAAAAATTACATCATCAATACATACAAAATCATGAATTAAAATACTTACAAGTCTAATGGATAGAAAAATAGAACAAGATATTTTCCATTATAATCAGAAAGAGAAATATCTTTAAATTCTCCATTCACAACTGCAGTACCTTTAAAATTAGGTGCAGGTTTTTGAAGTGCTGGGACCGGCATTATTAATGTTTTATGTTTCTGTAATAACAAACAAAATTTTCACAAATTTTTAATATAAATTTTCAATATAATTTGAAAATAATTTTTATTTTCCATTATAAAAAAAAATTTATATTATAGACATCCATTTTAAATTATAATTATAGGTTATCAATATTTTATTAAAATTATTATAGATATTAAAATATTATTTACAGATACTATATAATAATATCAATATTATTACTTATTATTAATGTAAAAACATTATATATTGTGCTTGATTAATGTATACAATATATAAGATTTTCTACTCAATTGGGCATAGTTACATATTTCTAAAAAAGATAGAAAAAAAGATAGATAATAAAAAAGATAGAAGAAATTAGAGATAGAAAAAAATTTTACAGAACAAAATTAAATTTATATTCCTGTATTATATTTATATAATTTTATATATTTTTGTATTTGGAAAATGCAATTATTATATTTTTTTAAAAAATAAAATATATAATTTCTTTTGAATAAATTAATTTTGTGAAAAATTTTTCACATAATAGTATTTTTATATAATAGTATAATAAAATTAGATTATAAATTAAATAATTTACAAAATGTTTTAATTTTCTTAAAATAAAATACAAGCATATCTTTAATTAGTCTTTATCTTTTATATTTATTCTTTTAAATAATTTCATTATTATATTCATTCTTTAAAATAATTACTTAGCTATTTGTAATATAACAAAAATTTACACATCTCTTTGTATGAAGATAATATATTAATATAAATTTTTAAGTTTTCTTTATAGCAAAATTAATCATTTTTTTTTTAATTATAAAATTATAATTTTCAATTTTCGTGAAAGTTTTTTTTAACATTTTTCATTCAATTATTTCTTTTCCATAATTTACCTTACTTAAAAAATAAAAATAACCTTATTCATCCTATCTTTAAGCTTTTTACATATCTCTGAAAATTGTTACATAAAATTGTTTTAATTATATCATCATTATATATTATATTTTATTTGCTACAAAAAATAATATCGAAAAGAAAAAAAAATGATTCTGTACACGAAAATATGTTATAAATAACCTATAAAATTTATATATTTAACAATGTTTTAATAATTGGAAAAAATGAATAATTGCAAAAGATAATCATTCCTTTATTGGAAATAATAAAACAAAATTTTAAGAATACTTATTTAAAATTAAAAAAAAAAAAAATATGAAAACTACAAGACGCTTTTGCTATGTTACAGATCAATACAATTTAATCGATATTGAATATATATATGTATATATATTAAAAAGTGTTTTATGTTACTTATTATATGAAAAAAGATATGTAAAAATTTATGATCTTTCTAAGAAATTTTTGCAATTATGAAATTTTCTAATATATTATTAAAGATATATTTTATGTAATCACTAATATTTTAAAAAAACTTTAAAAAAATATATTACAATTCATATAATTTTATAAAATATAATTAAATTCTATTTCTAAAACTAATAAATTGATTTGTAATAATCACGTATTATTCAACCATTTCTACGTATATAAGTACATTAGGTATTTCTTTTGTGTGAGTAGTTATTGCACCATCGAGAACTTTCTGAAACTAGATCGAATAAACTTTAAAAAAAAAAAGTTAAAAACAAATAAAAGCAAAATTCTATACAATTTCGATCTGTTTAATAATAATAAAATATAATTTTTGTATTTTTAATATTTATATATAAAGATTTATATACTGATATATACTAATATAGTATTTCATAATTTTTAAATTTTTTCCGTTTACAATCATATTTAAATATATATAAATGGATAAAAATTAAAAATATTATAAAATTAATTACATATAAATATTAGTTTAAAATTAAATGTAACTATATAAAATTTATACCTTTTATTTTGTAACAAAATTGTATTTTATGTAGAATCACTATTTGTCCAACAGTCTCGCTTGCAAAGATGTACGAGAATGGTAACCGGTTCGATGGAATTCACCTTCTACGTAATATTGCAACCGAAAAACATCATATGCGCCATCTATAATCAGTGCTGCCCTCTATGGAAAAATACTTTTTCTATCAGTATAATTTATTCTTTTAGAGAAAAATTAGTTTTATTTTTTTGATAGGTATTATTACGATTGTTTATACAAAAAGAAGAATAATGCATAAACATTATTTTTCTTGATTTTAATTAATATGTATATCTTATTATTTATAAATGAAAATTATAAAATCATCAATTAATTGATTAATATATTAATAAAGCATTTGAATAAAGACAAATTGTATTTTAAAAAATAATATTTATTATAAATAATAAAATACAATAAAAAAATATCGAATATAAGTTATAACAATAATTTTCATGTGAAATAAAATGTGTTTAAATAATATTATAATTGAAAATTTAAATAAATAATATTATTAATAAAAAAAGTTTGAAAGTTATATAAAATAATAAAATTTTACATAAAAAAAAAATTTCATAAATGTAATCAGGAAATTATATATCGATAGAATAATGTATAAATACAATAATTATGTATAGATAAAATAATAGATAGAATATATAAAGTTACATGTAATAATTAAAATAATCTGTATTAATTTTTTTAGTTACTATTATATTTTTATTTAATTTTGTAATATATTACAATAATCTTGTAATCCTTTAAATGAATTTTTCCTATGAATAAATTTCGTATCTTTTTTTATTTATATTCGAACAAAGATTTAAATTTATATATTCATTTTGTATTTTTTTTTAAATTAAATTAGATCATAAATTAAATTTTATATGAAAATTTTTGTTATTTTTTTAAAATTAAATAAATAAAATTAATTAAATAAAATAAAATAATATAATCAGTATTTTTGTAATTGATAATATTTACTATTACAAACAGGTAGTTTTTTTTCTAAACATAGATTGTTTGTTAAATAAACGAATAAATTAAATAAAATTTCATATTTCATTGTATATATTAAATATATATTAAATGAGATGTATTTGAATGTGTATATTTTGATAAAATTGTAAAAACATAATTTATTTAAAAAAAGTAAAGATGATCAAAATTTTTTTTTAAACTTTTATTCATAAAAAATTGCAGCAGATTATATATTTTATGGTATATTAATAATAATGAAAAATATTTTAAATGTACAAAGTTATTGTATTCCACATAAATGAAATATGTTTTGAACATTATAACATATTATACACAGTATTTTTGTATGAGTAATTTGTCTTTAATAACAACAATTTATATAAATAATACATCTGATTTAAACTACAACGCCAAAAGAATATTACAATGATATTTGTATTTTACTTTTGGATTATAATACTAAACAGACATTTCAATAGATAAATACTTTAAAAGTACTTCCTATTGTTTTCTTATTTATATGAATTATATATATTTTTGGCACTTACTATGTAAGGATTGTAAATTGCATTAAATTTAGCATATAGAAAATTAAAAGAATTTGACACAATTGACATAAATGTCCAAAATTTAATGTTTAAAATTTAAAATTAATTTAATAATTCATCAAGATCAGCCTTACGATAATTTTTTGCATATTATATAATTTTATAATGTTCTAAGAAAATTAAATATCTTTTGCATTATTAGGATGAGCGTGCTAGTTCAATATGTGGTAGTAAGAGGAGATCTTCTGAAGACAATGCATTGGCCCATTGGCGCAGTTATAGCTCAAGCATGCCATGCGTGCACTGCTGTTACTCATCTTTTTTACAATGATAATTACACACAAGCCTACCTTGCCAATTTAGATGTTATGCACAAAATTGTCTTGGAAGTAAGTATATCCAGGAACTATATGTATTATAGATATTAGACGTCAATTTGAACATATTATTGTGCATAACTCTTGTGTATACAATTTTTAAAATAGCGAAGGAGTATGGTGACATTTATAATATATTCATATATGGATATATTTATATTTATATTAATGTTAGATTCCAGATGAGACCAGTTTAAATAATTTATCTTTAACATTGACAAATGAGAACATCCATCATAAACTCTGGATTGAACAGCCTGAAAATATTCCAACATGTTTAGTAACAAAACCTTACCCAAAGGATAAAGTACAATCATATTTTAAGAAATATAAATTACTTAAATTGTAAAAAGATATAATTTTGATTATATAACTATGCTATTTTCTTCTACGTTGTACATTATAATCAATCATAATAAAACTAAATATTATAAAATAATAATTAATGTAGTACCATATATTTTAAAAAATAGTCAATATATTATAAAAAATAGTCATATATTTTAAAAAATAGTCAATATAAAGTTTTAATATTTGAAAGATTTTTACTACAAAAAAAAAAAAGAATTTCAAATTCAGTTTAAAAAAAGATAGCATTAACACGTATTCAATTATCAAGTAATAATAAATTAATCTTATAAATTTATAAATTTTTCCTTTATTTTTTATTTTTTTTTATATATATATGTATAAATAGGAATCAATTCCATCTCGGGATTTGCTATACGCCAATATGAAAACGATAGATATATACTTATTCTTTATTTAACAATACCTGATAGTATTGACAATGTGTACACATTACTCCTTTGCTTTACAGTTGGTATTATTACTAATCTAGATAAAAATTATGTCAAGATATGCATTATTAACTGATATTTGTATAAAAATTTTCCCTCACGATTGTGCAAAAATATGCACTATTTTATTAGAGCGTACCAAAGGCGATAAAATGACACAGGTACGCACATATTTATTGTGCGTATAAATGACACACATCGGGGGAATAAGTATTAATCGTTCCTCGTTATAATAATCATATCTCATTATTTTTTCGATGAAAATAAAATTCAAATTTCCTAGATGATTGAACACGATTGAAATTTTTGAATGTAAATTTTGATACATCAGAAAAATTAGATTTTTTTACAGATAAATATAATTTAAGAAAGAAAAAAAATCTTAAAAACATAATAATGTATAATAAAAGTAATAATTATAATAGAAATTATAATAATATAAATACATAATATTATAATTATGCTTAAATGCTTTTGGTTGCATTTTAGCAAACAAATAAATAGATAAAAGAATAACTAATTGACTCAGAAATTTACTTGAGAATATAATACGTTCAAGGTAACATTATTTTGAAAGATATAATTTTTTTTTTTTTTTAATATTTTAAAAGGTTTCAATTTTCTTTTTCAAATTAATTTTGAAAAGATTATTTAAAAAAAATAGAATAAGACAATTTGAAAAGATCTCAAACGTTTTACATTTTCTGCTTTCTCGAAATATTCTCGTTCATATAACGAACGAAGAGACAAATTTATTTTTCACGTAGAATTCACGTAGTATTTATATATAAAAAAAAAAAAAAAAAGAACACAATTGATAATCATATTAATAGATCAATAAATTGTCTATTGTTTTAGAACTTTGCTATAACGTTGCTATGTTACGTTGTGCGAACGATATTTGATATAATTCGGTATTTTCTCTCTCTCTCTCTCTCTCTCTCTCTCTCTCTCTCTCTCTCTCTCTCTCTCTCTTACTTATAATTAAAGTAATTTATAAATTACCGGTATTTACGTTTACAATTATAAACAAATTGTCGATAAAATTATGATGTCGTTCTAACCGCATTTCCGGTAATAAGCTCTAAATACTTATGTACACGCACTATTTGCGGACGCTAAACACTGTAAGTACACTTATTTACAACACCCGATGGCAAGAGGATCATTTCTGGCATACATGATTATGCCAAAAAAAGAAAAAAAAATATATATATATGTAAAAAAATATATATATTTCTTTTTCTCAAATAACTCGATTCTAGTTCGCGTTAAACTGGATAAATTTTTTTTGTTTTTTTGTTTTTTTTTTTCTTTCTCTTTTTCTTTTTTTTTTTTACGATGGAGTATACACACAGAGGTCCTCGAAAATATGTACTATCTTCTTTTAATGCGTTTGTATCACTGCCCTTCCTCCTTTTGCGCCTCCTCTTCTAGCCAATCGTGAAGAATATTCCTTCTTCTCTGAAAACACGAGATCAAAAAAAAAAAAAAATTCTAATATAAATATTTGCAAAGATGTTTCTTTAAAGCTTAAAGCAAAACGTAATGAAGATTTGTGTACATTCAAAGATGAAGAGAGAGAAAAAAAAAAGAACATGATCGCTTTGAGATGTAAAAGTAAAGTAAAAATACGTCGTATGCTTTTGAATTTGAAACGATTCCATTTTCGTCGTTTATGCATTTCGTCGTTAATGTTTAATTAATTGGCAAACGAGAAATGTGTGTAAGCGGACAATTTTGCAAATATATAGTACGCAGCCAGGAAATATTATTGTTGATATTATAATTTGCTTGTTTTAGCTTTGTTACTATTAATTCTTTTTTTAAATCTACTATTAATCCTTCTTACTTTTTAAATAGGAAAGCAAAGCGAGCTTAAATTTTTTAGGCAATATGTTTCACGCGGTATACTATTGCAACAATAGGTACAACAATTGGGATGATACAGCAATGAAACCGGAATAGGAATAAGTTTGCAAGATTAATTTTACCGAAATCGTATTTCTTCTTCTGTTATTTAGGAACATGGTGTATATAAGCTGACTTGTACATGCACACAACAGTTAGTATAACTACGGGACTTGCAATTACCAGGACCACGTTAGTTTGGGAGAGCAAGGTGAGACGAGTGATGAGGGCGATGGCTGTGGTGGTATTGGTGGTTGTAGTGGTGATGGTAGTGGTAGTAGTGGTGGTAGTTGTTGGTAGTGATTAGGGCAGCGCACAACGAGCAATTATTGCTCGGCTAGATTTCCATTCGGATCCGTATACTCCTCGTATTCCTCTTCCGGCTCCTCGTAATCCGTTTCTGCAGGTTCAGGACCTTCGACAGCTGGTATCGAGGTGCTAGTGATGTCCTGCTAAGCATACACGAGAATCCAAGCGTTTCTACCTACTTAGTTTTATTTTTGGTTTTTTTTTTTTTTTATTATTTACACCACTCCCCTTTTCACCAATCATGTTCACCAAGCTTATTAGACATTTTTATCTCTTGTTACACTTAACTTACATTTGTTAGTTCTCCAAAAAAAGCAAAGGTTGACGTTGATGATTAAATTAACCCTGCCACTGTACTTTTTGAATTATCTAACGTGTAGAAATTTGGTATATTTTTATTTGCCACGTTATGGGTAAAGAAAACTTTTCATTTCTTCTTCACACCAAGATTTTTTATTTCCAGTTTAATTTGAATATTTCAAACTGATTTTATCATAAATCTTTCTATTCATAGAAACACACGTATAGAAAATTGTGCATCAATTCAGGGTTAAATTAATCGAAAAATAATCATGCCAAGTATTCCAAGATAAAAATTAAACTTTCATATTTATTCAATCTGTATATATATATATATATATATATACACATATATCTGGAAAAATTCCCAATTATTTCCAAAAAAAAAAAAAAATAAGAAATTACTATCTCCCAGTTAAATGTTAAACGTTCACACCTTGTACAATTTATCACCAAATCAAATGAAACCTTGGTTCAAACCGTGGAAAAAGAGATTTGATCAAGTAAATGGAGGGAGGAGAAGGGGAGAAGAGAAACGATAAAGAAAAGGACAACAACAAGGAAGTCGTCTGTCACCGACGACGTTGGTTAAACCGTACAATAATTAATTGAAACGAATAGGGAAAACCTGGTGAGATACCTGGGGTGGCCTCCAACCGCATCCTGCCAGCGGAAGTCCGTCGGCCCCTAATGGACAGGGAGCATCGAGGCCGGGTACACCCTGATCTCCTTTGTTGCCTTTGTCGCCTTTCCTACCCCGTTTCCCCGGCGGTCCCTGTATTCATACACGAGAAACGTTTCAGCATCCAAATGGCGTGTTAATGTACAGGCGAAATTATTTTCGCGGACGTGCAAAAAAGGCCAGGCACAAGATAAAAAATCTCTTTATGCATAAATAGTAAATCGATTAAAATTGTGCAAATGAGCATTAACGGTCCAAGATAAAGGCGTCGTGATATGTATACATATGTATATATATATATATATAAAATTTGTCTTTTTATCGATCTTTATATACGTCGAGCGTTAAAATAAAAGAAACGTGGGTAATGTCTAAATATTATGCTATGCACATCTCTAAGGAAGTTATCGTTAAATTTAGTTCATTAATTTATATACGCTGGTGGCAGCATACGTGATACGCATAAAAATTAATTTATATCTATTTCTTTTTATCTATGATGATTTCTTTTTTTCCCTCGTCTTTCAACGTTTACATGCGTTGTGCAATAAACACAGTATATTATATCCCAATGTTAAACCGTTCCATTATTATTGGCAAATGATTAATCGTACTTTGTGCTACAAAAATTTAAGATTAGAAATGATGGAAATTAAAATTAAATTATCTATGAATAATTAATTAATCGGTATTAGTGGTAACATGATAATAGTTTGTGTTAATGATAATAATGATAAAATATATGATATTAATAATGAATTTCCGAATTGTATAGTAAATTTTTTTTAGGAACGAGTAGGAATAATTTCTCGTCGATCAGAGAGTTTTTTTTTGAATGTTAAAGAATTTATTATGAGCTTGCTCGCTCGTCACAAACTACGAATTTTTTTTTTTTTTTTTTTTCCTTGCCCAATTATTTAAAACTGATTAGTCGAATTTCATCAATACTCACAGATTCGCCTTTAGCACCTTTCTCTCCCTTCGGTCCCTGGAATTGGTACGTCAAAGAATTTATTCGTTAAGTGACGGTCGTGCCTCTCTTCGTTTCTTTTCTACATGCACGATACGTATTGTATAGAAAAGAACTTTTCTATATTATACAATTTCTCTATGCGAAACTTGCTCTCAAATGGCATACAACATGTGACTACGATCACAAATGCGTGAAACTAATAATTAATGTTAAAAGAAGCAAGCAATGAAAGCTATAAATTGATTAAACCCGTTTTGCTTTAATTTTTATGGATATGATCATCGGTTTGTTTTTCTTTTTCTTTTTTTTTTTTTATCAGTTTTGTACATTCTTAGAGAATTTGAATATCAAAATGGAGAGGATTGTGCGCTTCTCCCTCTCTTTGAGATTTGATTAAATTTTGAAAATAATTTCTTTGGAAATAAAAGGTTAATTTTTATCAAGCGAAAGAATTCTATTGAACAATTTTAGAAATTGGAAATTTTTTAATCGGTTTGATAATTTTCAAAAAAATTTCCAAAAAAAAGAACGATAACCCGGAGAATGCATATGTACAAAACACGCATAGCTTTGTAGTCTTTAAAATTGTCACTTTGACGTAAATATATATACAGTGATCTGTTTTATTAATATTCTGACATGGCATGTTATTGAATTGATTGTTTTCTATACTATGATTTATACGAAGAATAAATTTATTCGACTTATTTTTTTGCTAGATATGCGATAAATTAAATAATGACGAAATTTAATAAAAATTTAATAAACGTTGGATTATATTCAATTTATTTTATCATTAATTTAAAATGTAAATTTTATAATGTAATTACAAAATTTACATAAAAATATTTTTGCGTAAATATTATTTAACTTTCGTCATATTCAATTTATTGTTTAGTGCACAAAGAATTATCGGCTACAAAAAGTATTTATTAAAAAACAATCAATGAAAAAAAAGAAACGATGTCTGAATATTAACGATGAATCACTGTTGTACACAAAAACTTGACTCTTTAACAAATAATATCTCTGACTATTAATTCCATCTTATATTCTTTTTGACATTGAAAATTTTCTAATTTTCTAAAAATTTCTATTTTTTATTCGATGGTAATAAAACACCAAAACACGAAAATTACTCGAATTGCCTTAACAAAATTTAAATGCTCGATCGAACAGATTACTATTGTTCACTACTTCGTAACAAGATAAAAAAAGAAAAAACATTTCCAAATATGGCAAATACTACGAAACCAAAGAGAGAATAAAATTTTCGAAATAAATTTTGAAGTAGCAATAAATAATCGATAAAATTTGCAAGAGTAAAGGGATGATCGTGCAACATCTTTAGTGTTAAAGAGGGAGAAAGGCGCAAAACTTTTAATTTCAGCCCCCTCCTTTTTCGTGCAAAAGAAGTAAAGAGACGAATTTTGGGGCAGTCCCCGGGGTAGATCAGGCAGATGTATCGTCGTTACCCCGGGCTGGTTAGACTGTGTCGCAGTCACACCGAGGGGCGAGCGATAATCGAATGCCACTGTACCTCCGCGCCAGGAATTCCATCGGTACCCTGGGGATAAACAGAATGTGTCGTTGGGTGTCTCGACGACATCGTAATCGAGTTTCAGCTCGGATGAAATATCGCTGTTCACGGTTAAATAGTTAGATCGGACATCGAGCCGTTTTGATAATAAGAGGATTGGACAACTTCGAACTTCGTGCTATGATAGAGTTTGTAATTGTTGGGAAAATATCGTAAAATGGGGTGAATGGAAGTAGAAAGAAAATTTTAGCAAAAAAAAAAAGAAATAATAATCTTTTTCACGATCCCTTATTTATTTAATCCTCTTTTTTTTTAATATTCGAATAATTTTTCAATTTCTCACACAATAGGAGTAAAGTAAATTTAAGAATCTTGCAAATTTTGCAACACGTTTTGATGTCGGTATTGGATCTTCAATATATCATTGATAAGATTCTTACGAGTAAAATTTTTTCAAAAATAAAAAATCAAAAATATAATACTCTATTAAAATTAGAAAAACTTTAGAATTTTATTCTTTAAAATAAATTTTTCATTTATTCTGATACAATTTCCTGTGATATTATTATCTAAAAGAAAAATAATTTTTAATCCATTTACCTTAAATCCAATTAAATCTCATTAAAATTAATAAAATTTTAAATCGTTATAATTTCGAAAATAGTAACTTCCGGTTAACGAATGAACGATCATTAGAGGCGCAGAATCTTCCTCTTTAAAATACTTTTTCATTTATCTCAATACGACTTCCGATTGCCGAGATATCGTCGTTCAAAGAAAAAGATAATTTTTTATCGTTTATCTCCATCGTTGTCATTTATTCGGATCTTTCGCTCGCACGTCTTTGCCGAGTTATCGCAATGTACCTTAGAAATTCTATTAAAATTAGCAAAATTTTAAATCGCTATAACTTCGAAGTTAATAATCTTCAGCCAACGAATGAACGATCATTAGAAGCGCAGAATCTTCCTCTTTAAAATGCTTTTTCATTTATCCCGATACAATTTCAGATTGCCGAAATATCGTCGTGTAAAGAAAAGAGTAATTTTTCGTCTTTATTATTTTTATCTTTGTCATTTAGTCTCATATCTCTCATACTCGTCGTAATGACCTATTTTAAACTTTAGACAAATAACAGCCGTGGTTCTTAGAAAAATATATTCGTGGAAGGCCATAGTATGCAGGAAAAAAAATGTATGTCACTATGTCAGTTCCATTCATTTTCGCATCTCTATAGAAACTTTTTTATCTCGGCAACCGATCGAAATATCGAGATGGAACAAAAAGAAATGTCAAAATTTCTTCAAAATTTTCTGAATGTATTTTAATGAATACTAAATTTGAATACTAGCTATATAAAAATTCACGATCTAATTACATTTATTGTCAAGTTAGTCGAAAGACTAATAATAAAGATATTTTTTATTCACCCCATTTTACGTTAATTGAAAACGTTATTTGGCAAATTTTGAATGAAAAATGGTTTTTTTTTAGTAACAAATATTAATTATAAAATTCTAGGATAATTTTTCAATTTATTGGGAAGAGGATACTTACAGGTAGGCCAGGATCCCCTCTTTCTCCCTTTGTCCCTGGTTCTCCTTGTGCACCCTGCAAGTATGAATAAATATAACGAATAATGTGATCTGCGCGTATACGCTCGAACAATACCCGTTATGTTTTCAACCAGGACTTAATATATGCCTGAATGTGATGAAATCGTAGTGTGAGCGTAGTAATCGAGGATCCAAAAATCATAAATATAATGTATGGTTAAACGGGTCTCCCCGAGGATTGCTCACCTTCATGCCGTCTAATCCTGGTGGCCCCTGAAAGGCAGAGGAAACCTTGTCAGATTCATTGAAGTCACCTGATAATCGATATCAAATATGCCGATTCAAATGTAATTTATTATCAAGATATTTTTATTAAGACGACGCTCTTTGACGCCCTTCATTCACAGCAGTATTGTACCTTGCCAAGCTCTTCAGAAACGTTTTAATTTTATCTTAATAAATTTGTTTGTGCAATATAATATATTTGTGCATACGTTTTTAAGAATAAAATTAAGTATTCTTATCAATTTATAGTGGTTCGCTGAACAAAAGTTTAATAAAAAAAATTAACGAATGACGATAATTTGACTTTGTGACAAATTATTAACTAATAGTATTGTATAATAATATATCGAAAGAAAATAATTGTCTTACATATTATTTATTTCTGACCTATTTCAATAAAAAATATTATTAAATGTAATGTTAATTGATTTTCTCAAAAATAAAATAATCTCTTTGATATGAAATAAAATAAAATTAATATACAATTAATGTATATACAACATATTATGATATTGTAAATGTAAATATAAAATGAATTAATTAAATATCATTTATCGTACAGAGTTTTATGTTTGATATTTAACGACAGATAAAATATTAATCTTTTCCTAGAGCCAGGCAAAGGTACAAATGAAATGGGCGTGTTAGGCAAAGGAAAAGATGAAGAAGGAGCTCAATCGAATTCGAGAAAAAATTGAAAACTAAAAAAAACCAGCGGATTTCAGCGTTGGTACGCTTGAATTATGATTGAAAAAAAAAAAAAAAAAGAAAATACCTTCGCAATAATAATCTATTTACGAGATGGCATAACGATCCAACAATTTACGTTACCGTGGTGGTCGCAGCAAATTAACACGTTAATTTCTCTCTCTCTTTCTCTCTCTCTCTCTTTCATGATCATGATCTTATAATATAATATTAAAAAAAAAAAAAAAAAAAAAAGAAAAAGAAAAAAAAAGATATAGATATTCGCAGAAAGAAGAAAGAAGGACGAAGAAGAGAAACAAAGTGTAATAATAAAAAAAAAAAGAGATAGAAGTTTTTTTTTGAACAATGATCGTCGGATCGCAGCCAGAGCAAAATGCAAAGCGGTAATTTCACTACAAGGTGTATGTGTGTGTTGGTGGATAAGCGTTAAAAAATTTCGAAAGGGCATCATATAGAAGCAAAGGACACAGGCACATGCACATTCTGTTTATTAATTGGGACAATGTAAAACAAAATTGTTAGAGTCAATTAATTCTTATATACGTAAATACGTCGCCGTATTCTTCGTCTCTATAATTTTTTTTTCTTTTCTTTTCTTTTCTTTTCTTTCTTTTCGTTAATTACCAAGGCGCGCCGCTTTACAATACACACATACGCACGCACATAAAATGTTATGTGTTTATTCCTTCCCCGCATACTTTTTTATACTCGTCGTCACATGCACGTGTACACGTATATGCGTACGTATATATGTATAACTGTATACGTGTACATATACACGTACACGTGCATATAGATATCGTATACACACGCATACACACGCATACATACACGTCTCGATCGATAATCATTACTTCTCTCTCTCTCTTTCTCTCTCTCTTTTTTTTTCTTTTTTTATTTTTCTTCGAAACTCTTGTGTGCATATGCACGTGTATGGATTGTTCACCGTAATGGGCGCTCATTCACACTGTTTTATCGTTATTACTTCGCATTATCGCATTAGCGTTACCATTTAATGTGCTTTCACGATACGAGAGCTTCATACTTTTACTCGTTTTCCATTATTTTTCGTTAAAAACTATTCTCATTAATCTTTACGCACTATTTTAGATTAGGATATGCACAGCGAAACGGTAGGCTATATATATATATTTAGTAAACGCTTTCTAACCGAGGCCAGCGAAAATATTGTTCAACACATTGGCAAACCCCGTTTCTGTCGATATTATTCTAAATTGTACAACTTTTTTTCTCGTTTATTTAATTTAAGGTGTCAACGTGTTATAGGTGACTAGGATCACAAAATAAAGGATACTCATTTGACACATGATCGTTAAGTACATTGTAAGTTATTACACATAATAGGTATATGTATTTTTCCCACTCTGTACTATCTCGTGTTCGTTTAGGCCATTATTAGTTGTGTCTATCCTTGCATTTTTCAATTATTTTCGTGTAAATTAGGCGAATAAACTTATCTCTTCTGGTGTTTTCAATCGAATCGGAATTTTCTCGAATTCTATTGTTCGAATTTCTTATTTGTCTAAATTATTAATTAATTATCGGTCTATATAAATTTATATTGTTAATTAATTATTTACGTTTGGTTATTTGTACGTGAGCATACCATGCATTATACGTGAAAAAATAAATGGATTATATATGTAGGTGTTAAAAAATAGCGAACATAAAAATATGTTTTAAAAAAAACTATAAAATTATAAGAAACAACATTTTTTTCCGGATAATTTTGAGTTAAAATGTGTTAAAAAATATATATGTCTCATGATTGTAAAATAAATGGTGATGTAATTTCTTATTTAAAAATATTACTTTTAAAATAACGATTTAAAATTTAAAATAAAAATAAAATTTGTATGAATAAATTTATATATGTGTATAACAAAATATATTATAAAATAATTTCAGACAAATCTTATAGATTTTTCTCTTCTCTTCAATTCTAAAATATATAAACTACTTCTATACAAAAATTTATTATATTTTCAAATTTTCAAATTTATTATATTTTCAAATACGATCAGGTTCATATTTCTGGCGGTACGAAAGGTACGATAAATTTATATTTGCCAATAAAATGTTTATATATATATATATATATGAAAAAAACCTAAATTTTTCTATTATACACATTTTCTTTATTAATACGTTACATCTCGAACGAACACTCGATCGAAAAAAATATATCTTGGTCATATCGAAATAAACAGAAGTACAATGTAAAAAAAAAAAAAAAAAAAAAGAAAAAAAAAGAAAAAAAAATATCTTGTTAAGTACAAATCGTTTAATTTAAATTAAAATATAATGGAAAAAACGTAGAATAAAAAAAGCTTAATGCAAATAAATAAATCCACGATAAAAAATTGCGAATTATTAAAAAAGAAAAAATTAAAATCTTACGAAGAAATAAACTAAAAAAAAAAAAAAAAGGAAATACATATAAAGTAGGTATATAGAAATAAGTATCTAAAAATAATTGAGCTATCAAAATGTATCATAAAAGTCCAGTACTGTTTTTCGATAGCTTACAAGTTGTCGCAAAATATTTTATACAATATCTATCAACCTTATCTATATAGTTGTTTAATTTAAAAACGTTTTAAGGCAAAATTTGCTTAGCTTTCGTACCGCGTTACCACGTTATAACGCTAAAGCTTTCCGATTTAACATCAGTATCGTATAAGGTATTTATCCCTTGGTGTATGCGCACGCATACACCATACACAAATACATACACACACGTGCGCGCGCGCGTACGCGCGCACGCAACATACACACGCACACGCACACAAAACGTTGAGTTAAATTTATATACGAGTATATAATATACGAGTTAAAAAGGACGGATGGTAGTGCGATCATCCGCTCGATAATTACCGTTGGATAAATTAAATGTACAGCACCGACCGAGTATATATTTGCGTATATCGAAAAGGAAAGGAAGAAATTTAAAAAAAAAAAAAAAAAAAAAAAAAGAAAAAAAAAGATAAACAAAAAAATTTAGAAAGAACAAAAAAAAAAGGAACAGAGACAAGCATCGAATAATTTTACTCGTTTACACATCGAATATCTATTGGAAGACGCTTCGTTTCTCCCGAAACTTCACTCTCTTTTCACACATCGACACGAAAAATCCATCGATCGAAATTATCGATTTATCGATTTATCCTCTATCAAGAGTAAATTATCTTTTTTTTTTTCTTTTCTTTTCTTTTCTTTTTTTTTTTTTTTTTTTTTTTTTTTTTTTTTTTTAATATCTTATTACGTCTGCTACAACTTTGCACCCGCTATTATAAATACAAGAGTTACACAGTCACCTTATCCATTAACCACACGTTTAAGACACGTTTCGCTACGATCTTTCTTCTTCCTTGAATAACACGTATTAAAATCGTAGTAAAATCCTTTCTCCTTTACTCTTTTTGTTTTGGGGTTCGAGAACATGATATATATATTATACAATATATATATATATATATATATATCATAACTATGCCTGCAAATTTCCCCTCTCCCCCTTTCTTTTCTCTTTTCTTTTTAAGGACGGTCCTTTAAGCTCCCCTATCATTACTCATCGTTGAAGGATATCGTTAGTTAGATTCCAATCGATAAGCCTATGAAAATCCACCGAGCCAGACATTCCTGTTGTACGTACTCGATACTCGACTCAAATGCGATTAACTAACACTCGTCCTCGCGATTATACACTTATATCCATAATAAATGCTAACGATGATATGACTTGCAACATCGAGAAGTTGTTTCGACAAGTTTGTTCATCCTCCTCCCTTATTCCTTCTCTCGATTTGTCCCTCGAGTTGTCCCTTTCTTTTTTCTATCAATTTTTTTTTTCCCCCCCTCTTTTCTCTTTTTTCTCATCTTGCAGGATGACGGTAATAATAATAATAATAATAATAATAATAATAATAATAATAATCGAATTTTTTTTACATGTAACGACACAGGGGGGGGAGGCAAACATACTCGAGAGGCAATCAATCAAGGGATATGAGGAAGTATAATACACGAATATTCTTGCCGAAAATGAGCGACAATCGAGATTTTACACTGGTCGTTAGTGAATGCCTAGTAAATGATTCAGCAGCGAGGCCAAATAACGATGACGTTAGGAGCGAGAGGTCCGCGTTCTTACCATGGCACCAGGTTTCCCGGCATCCCCGGGTTTTCCGGACTCTCCTCTCAGTCCCATGGGGCCCTGCAAAGAAACAGATCGATGCGTCGATCAGTGATTCGATTGGGGGGCGAAGGGATGGGTCGATCGAAACCCCGAAATCCTTCGAAACTCGACCGACTTTTTCCCGAATTCTCGGGAAATTCGTTTGAAATTAGCGATGGATTCAAGTGAAGTGGAAACTTAAGCTAATTGATGGATAAATTTTTCGTGAATGTTTGATTAATTTATTGATTAATTTTTGTAAATTATTATTTTTATTAAGTTTAGAAATTTATATTTAACTTTAGTTCGTGATGATATAGTTAATAATGATATAGTTTTATGTAAATTTGATTCTGAAGTTGGTATATTTCAAAAATGTTGATCTTGATAATTATCATCTTGTATTTTATATTTAAAAGTGCAAAGTTCTATAATATTCATCCCTTTTGGCAAATAAAGAATACTTTTTAGTAAAATTGTATTATAGGTATGTTTATAATTTTTTTGTACAATTTTTGTTTCTTCGATTACTATTTATAAAAGATTCGACTCATTCTATAATATCGAAATATAAAATTTTTGAAATTTCTAAATATTTCATTTTGAGATAATCCTTTAACACTGATTTGGATTAAACTTGATACTATTGTCTAAATCTTCTTATTATTGTAGTCACTTTGAAACTTTTGAAATTCAAAAAAAATAACTTAAAATAAATAAATTATAAGAAGGTTATTATAATATAGAACGAAAAAAAAAAAACGAAACATAGAGATAAAATGTTATTAGGCTGACTACGAATCTGAATATATTTGAAAAATTCTGAAAAAAAAATCGAGAATTTCGAGTTTCGATAATTTCGAAAGTTTTGAGACCATAGAAAATTTCGCGAATCTAAAAATCAGATTTCGACTCATCTCTAATTAAATGTATCATATATGACTGAATATTTATATTGGTTCATTATTTTAGCATGCCATTTCTTTTTTTGTTTAATTTTTCTTTTATTCATGACATCGATATGCATATATATTACTTATTATGTGTAATTATTTCGTTTCTTGTTTCTCTGTATTTTTATTCTAGCAATGATTATATTTATTATCATTGCATTTTTATCGAATCGAAATTGTAGAATTTTTTTATAATATAGTATATAGTTCGGAAAGTTCATAAAATTTTTTTTACAAGTTTTTTTTTTTTACAAATTTTCTTATTTATTTGAAAAAGAGAAGATATCTCGTTTTATGTATCCTTTATTAAGATAAATTATTTTTCTAATCAAAAATTAATTATATACAAAATTTAAAATAAAAATTTTATTAGTTGTTTCAAGCAAGTAGTTGAAAATTAATATTTAAAAAAAATATGACAAAAAGTATATATATATCTATATTATTTCAACGAAATAACAAAATAATATCATCCCCTCATTTGCTTTATTTTGATGGAAAAGAAATAAAACATTCAAACAGTATTGTTAAAGGAACGACGAAACAAATGGCAAAAAATTGTGAAGAAAAAAAATCATCATTAATTTTCGCTACGAACTTTTCGAACATTTTATTTATCGAAACTAACACTTTTCTTCGATACCTTTTCTAATACCTCAGGGATAAATAAATTTCGTGGATGGTTCCATCGTATGCATTTGACTCTATTCCTGGTATTTTATCGCGTTTTACAACCTACCTAACCTACAAACCTAATCTTGAGAGGAAAATACGTACGGGTAGTCCCATTGGACCAGGATCTCCTTTGGCACCCTTCTCTCCCTGTAATGTAAAAAAATAATCAAATGAGAATATTCCTATTCCATCGTTATAAACATGTTTTCGTTTCCTCGCTCTCTCGTTGATGTCATACGATATAATGTAATGTTTATATCTCGACTACAATACGTGTGAAAATACACATATAGAAGAAATATCAATTTCAATAGATAATATCAATTTAACTAAACTTTTTTTTTCTAACAATACTTTTGCAGAGTAAAATGTTCTATTCTAGCCATTCTTTTTCTTTTTCTTTATTCTTCAAGATATTCATCAAAATTTTTCACTTTTAAATAAGTATGAGAAACATTTCTAGAATCTTAGGATAAACTTTTCAATTTGAAATATATTTTGAAATGAATATTTTGATGGAATGTTTTAACTTTTAAGAAGGATGGCGTAACAAATATCATTAAAATTATACAAAATAATATCATTGATGGCGTGTAATGATATAATGCGTTGATGCGTGTTCTACAAATTGCAATTATAGAATGATTTTTTTGTTTAATATTACTGACAGGATCGCCTTTGGCACCATCGTGGCCTCGGTCGCCTTTTATGCCAGGTGGACCTTGGAGCCCAGGAGTACCAGCTGGGCCTGGTGGTCCCGGTGGTCCCATTATCTGCAACCAGAGTTCATCTCGTAATTTCAAGAAGAGCTCAAATTTTATTTATAAACGTTTTGAACAGTGGTTCCCAATCCATAGATCTTGCGTAGTATTTTCACTTTCTTCGCAATTCTTCACAATTTGGTTCATTCAAAGGATGCGAATATTGAGAGTAAAATTGAGAATAAAATTTTTCGAAAATTTTCGTAACTTCCAAATGTATTCAAAGACAACGTCGTTAAATTATTCCACGATGTTAATTTTTACATTGAAAAGGAATCGTAGGTTATTTGAATATTACAAAAGAGAATCACAACTCAAAAAAGAAAAAAAAAATTTGGAAAAAAATATTATACATTTATTAATTAGCAATAAGACACTTTTGAGAGATTTATTTTCAAATTGTTCATCATTTTTTCAAATTTTCTTTTCCTCAATGTTAATTTTTAAAATTTTTCTTATGTAGAAAAAAAAGAATTACAAAAAAATATGTTTATTATTTCTCGAGAGTTCTCTCCACAAATTAAATAAAAGTTTTTTCAAACTTTGCATCTATCTAAAATCTTCTTAAATTATTTCACGTTGCCAATTTTTTTAAAATTTTTCTTTCCACATATTTTATAAATTCGAAAAAGAAGAAGAAAAGAAAATTGAGAGACACTGTTATTGTTTATTACGCGTTTATTGTATACGTTAAATTATTTCATGTTGCCAATTTTTTAAAATTTTTCTTTCCACAATTTATAACTTTTATATCGATATTTTATAAATTCGAAGAAGAAGGAGAAGAAAAGAAAATTGAGAGACACTGGTGTTACACGTTTATTGTATACGTTAAATTATTTCACGTTGCCAATTTTTTAAAATTTTTCTTTCCAGAATTTACAACTTTTATATCGATATTTTATAAATTCGAAGAAGAAGAAGAAAAAAAGAAAATTGGGAGACACTGTTATTGTTTGTTACACGTTTATTATATACGTTAAATTATTTCACGTTGCCAATTTTTTAAAAATTTTCCTTTCCACAATTTATAACTTTTATATTGATATTTTATAAATTCGAAAAAGAAGGAGAAGAAAAGAAAATTGAGAGACACTGGCGTTACACGTTTATTGTATACGTTAAATTATTTCACGTTGCCAATTTTTTAAAATTTTTCTTTCCAGAATTTATAACTTTTATATCGATATTTTATAAATTCGAAGAAGAAGGAGAAGAAAAGAAAATTGGCTTTAAGACACTAGCGTTACACGTTTATTAATCAAACAACCGAATGGAATACGAAAAGTTCAAACGTTACTCACCACTTCGCCAGCGTTTACTTCAAACGTGCCGTCACCCTGTAATAAAACGAGCTCACGTTACGCAAACGTTGTAAATTTATTCTCTTCGCTAATAATATTTCTTCTTCGATAATTTCGACGATTCGTCGTGTAACAATTACATTATTATTATTATTATTATTATTATTATTATTATTATTATTTGAAATACGTTGAACAACAATAAATGAAACGTACCTGCCTTCTCCTAAGTTTCTTGTATTTCTGTCGAAACGAGCGGCCCGCGTGTGAATCGTTGTCATGAAAAAAAGAAAGAAAAAAAAAAAAAAAAAAAAATAGATTTTTATCGTTGAAATTTTGTCGAGACAAACAAGTTGCTCGTTAAAACGCACTTGTTTTATTATATGATCCCGAGCCTTCGATTCTTTCGTGGCAATTGACGTTGGACGAGTACGCGATATACTTGTCATCACACGTCTGAATCAAAGGCCCCGGAATTACTCGCAGCTAGAATTGATGGATATTCAACGACTCTCGGGTTCGACGAACGGTATTATATGGGAGGGTCAATTATATCTCTCATCTTTGCCCGTTCAATCAAGGGATTTAAAATGAAAAGATTCGATACGAGAGGGTTGTTTTTTTTTTTTTTTTTTTTTTGATCGTCCATCTGCTGCGCGTTTAAGTATTATCGAGAGACTCACCGATTCACCTTTCTCCCCTTTTTCACCTTTCAATCCTGGATAACCCTGTTTAGACGACAGAACAACGTGGTGGCGTTAAATCTTTCTGTTCGAGATACGTGTTGTTTCGTCAGTTTTATCAGGCCAAGAGAATTCTGTCGTTTTTGAAAGGGGGAAGAAACGCTTTTGAAACAATCGTTCATTCTCTGTTTAACAAGGAGAGACATTTCTATGTTCTTCAAAATCGTTTCAAGATCCTGTAGTGATTTTGATTTTTTTTTTTCACTATTGATTAATCAAAAGTGATTAATTTGTGTTCCAAAAATATTTTTTTTCTTGGAAACGGTTATTAATAAAAATTGAGAGAAGACAAGAAATTTTTAGCATATTTATCGTATATCTAATGTTTTAAGCCAAAATAATTATTTGTAGAACAACATTTTACAAATAATTTATTTTATCGTATATTTTTCCACGATAAAAGACAGAATTTTCTTGGTTAATATAATTGAATAAATATTGTAATAAGTTGAGTGGTTTACATACCGGTGGACCAGGCAAACCTGGTGGCCCCATAAGTCCTGGAGGTCCAATATCTCCGTAGTCACCTTTTTCACCTTTGGGTCCAGAAATTCCCTGTACAAATATTTAATATGGCAATAAATGTATGTAAGGTATGTATATCGAATTTTATTCCTTGAAAATCCACAATAATCGATCGCATAATATAACATAAATAATGATATTATCGTATTGAGAATAAAATTTTATTTAAAATTCGATAAGCTTTTGTAATATTTAACTGGAAAGTTATAACATTATTATTTATATGTTAAAATCTCAGAGATATAGGGAATAAATATAAATGTTTTTAAAAAGGAATATGTCAGGAAATTTTACAACATAAAATTATTTTGGAATAATTCACATTTAAAAAATTGAATTAAGCTTTAATATAAGCACACATTTTATATAAAAATTGTTAAAACATACCGTCAGAACAGAATAATTCTATGAGCATGTTTTATGCAAATCAGATTAATTTAATTAATAGAATTGAAAATTGAAACAAGCAAGTATTTTTTTTTAACAATCTTAAATTACATTTTCACGCATAATTTACTTACTGGCAACCCTGGAGGACCCTGTATACCAGTCTCTCCATCCGTTCCATTGAGCCCAGGTAAACCAGGTTGTCCTTGCTCTCCCTTTGGTCCTGAAATTACGATTCTTTACTAGTACAATTAAGTAACAATCCTTATTCATCTCGATCCTTCGTATTCTTCGCGATAATCGATCCCCTAGAGATGAAATATACTCGATTATTAATTTCTCTCCTTTCACTCTCTCTCTCTCTCTCTCTCTCTTTCACTGCATAGACAGAATACATCATCGCAACACTCTCTCGTTATTTTCGAATTATTTTCGAAAATAGCATTAATATTGGAATAAAACGAGATATAACGAGAGATTCCACGAGATTTGATTTCTCTCAAATTTTCTCAGCTCTTTTCTCGGAACAAGATCGAATAGGAAACGATAAGAGAGACTTTCAACCGGGATAGTTCGAAAGCATTTGAAAATTTTAAAAGTAGATTTTAAATCGAACGTATACGAAACACTTCAAAAGCGAAAATACAGAAATAGGCTTTCCTTGTTCGACCATTCACACCGTCGTAATATCCAAAGATTGGATAGGAAGATAATGATAATACATCGTGTCGAGAATAACAAAAAATGAATTGGATTATGAACAAGTTTTAAAGAGGTTTTCAAAGTATAATAATGGCCTGTGACGAGCGTATACGATTGTAGATCCATCAGATCGGGAGAAATGCGAGGGGAAGAAAACCCCCCTTTTTTTTTCGATTGTAGCAGTTGGGACGGAGATATATATATATATATATATATATATATATCGTTCATATTGTCATCCATCTTTTTCTCCAATTTCGCAGAGGAATGGCTCTTGAAAATCTACCTGGTGAGCCCGTGTCTCCCTTGGTTCCTTTATCGCCTCGGTAACCCCGTTCCCCGGGATCACCCTTTGGACCCGGTAGACCGGGTGGGCCTCTCATCAATGCCACACCGCTCTCACCCTTGAAACCCTATAATGTAACACTGTAAGGTCAGGTCCAACCAGGTCCTCCATCTTTAAAAATTTTCTTTTTTTTTTTTTTTTATTTTTTGAAAATTCTTTTCTCTTACGACGAAGCGTTAATCGGTATCATTTTTTAGGTTAGGATGGGTACAGAGGGAGAGGAGATTTTCGGTTTTATTTATCGTGGAAATTATCTATTTTGCTGGTCGATTTTGGCACCAATTTTTTCTCCTCTCTGGAGTTTCTTTTCTTTTTTTTTTCTTTTGTTTTTTTTTTTTTGTTTTTCTTGGTTGTATTTGGTTTGATTTAGAAATGATCGATGATGCCAAAATCGACCGAATCGAGGATTACGATTAACACACTAGAAACCTAGACACACTAATCGTTTAATCGAAAAAAACACAAAAGTTTACTACATGTGGTGTGAATATATCGCATGCAATATCGACGACAACGGGAACGCTTGTTAGTAGGGGGATCAAATTTAGTAGAAAAATGGAAGCTATTAAAACTTATCCCCACTTTCCTCTCCATTTAATTAAATTTTAATTCGTCTTGGTTTGATATTTTTTCGAGTATAAATAAACAAATATTCCTGGTAATGATAATTTAACCGAGTTTGAAAATATTTTAAGTAAAATAAATTTATTAAGCGAATTATTTATCTAATTTCACTTCGAGTAATAAAAAAGATACTTAAAAAATATTTTAATAATCTGTCTGAGAGGAAAGAGGGGATAAAACACAAACGAATTAGAAGAGGGTCGAAACATTGACAAAAAAAAATATATATATATATAAAAAAAGAAAAACAATAGTAATCGTGAAATTAGCTGCGTATGACACGACGTACGAATATTTTTTCGAAATCGACGGTAAAGCTACTAGTAGAAAGTAGTAGTAGAAGTAGTAGTTGAGGGGCTGTTGTTTGATACTTACGCGACAATCGCAGGCTTGCATCGATCACCGGTCGATAAAGTTGCGAGAGCCTCAAAGCCGGGGGTAGTAGTATTAGTTATTAGTGATTTGTACCGACACACACGGGGAAGAAGTAGTGTGGTGTTACTTTGCTACATTAAACACAAATTAGTTACACAAGCTACGTACACTACGCCAAAGACTATTGACTAAGATAAAAAAAAAGCGATATCACACAATCTCTCTCTCTCTCTCTCTCTTTCTCTCGTTCTCTTTTTCTCTCGCTCGCTCTCACCTTCACCATCTCTTTCTTACATCTCCCTTCCTTACCCACCAATCAATTTATTCTTTTCGCAATCGTTGTTATTATATAGCACACATATGGACAGTTTGTTAGAATAAACGAGTTCACTTTGCGACATAAGAATTATAAAAGGATTGAGTGTACGGAATTGCTGCAAACTTGCAAGAGAATATATTTATTAATCCGTACATCCGTTAATTTCGATTAAGTTTATTTGAAAATTAATCCTCAAATCTTTATTGTACAAATACTTTGAAATTAATCTACGCCAAGAGAATTTTTAATTTTGATTTGTTATTTTTTGATGTAGATAGAAAATTTTTTATCCTTTTGGCTATAGATTTTAAAAAAGTACTTTGGGAATCGTTTTCATTTCATTCTTATGGGATGATGGCTATGATGAAAGAAGAATATTTTTTTGAGAATTATCTGTCATATAAACTTCATCAAAATATATGTAGTTGTGGAATGTATTCTCTTGTTAATAGAGATCAGTGTTGGGCATTAATTTAATTAATTAATGATTAATGATTACTATTACTCTGATTATCAATTGTGATTAATGATTATTTTTATTTTAATTGATATATAACTGTAATTAACGATTAGGTATTTAATCGTTAATTGGATTAATAATTAAATTAGTTATTTTGAATTGTCAATTGGTTAATAACCAATTTTTATCACAGTGAATTGAATTTTAAATTTTCAGTAATTGTTATTTCTTAATGACTACGAACTTATAATTATTTTATTAATAATAGTAAGAATTTCGTTAATACAATAATATATATAAAATAAATTTAATTTGTATTTAATATTTGTATTTAATTATATTTATTTTGAAAAGAATCGTATAAGATTATTTAAAATAATAAATAAACAAAATTATTTCACTAAAAAAAAACTTTAAATTTGAATTTAATAAAAAAATACCATTAAAATTGCATTACCATTAAATCTCATGAAAAATAAAAAAATATTACAATATTCTTCAGATCTAACATCAATTTCAAACATTATTATAATCCAAATAAAATTAACAATTTAACAATAGTAATCATTAATGATTACTATTCTTTTGATCAATAATTGATAGTTAAATTCATAATAGATGATTGAACTCAAATCAATCACTATTTTTGATAATCAACTGTACATAATCCTTCTTGATTAAAATGTCTCTTTTTTTTTATTTTTCTGATAGATACAGATTAAAACATTTAAAATATTAACATTTTGTTCAACTAACTTTTTAAATTCATCACCATCAATATAATCATTTAATAAGAATAATACAAAGAAATAGATAAAACTTTATTTTTTTCAAGGAGTTAATAAAATAAAAATTCAGATTTTTCTAACAGATATTGTATAGTTAAGAATATGATTTTTTTTGAATCATTAATCAATCAATCAAAAATTTTATACTATCGCTTTTACCCCAACACTTAACGTCAGATATTACTTTTTTCTTGCAAACTCGAGGAAATGAAATCCTCGACAAGTGAAACCATCATTGGTATGAAAAATTCCGGTTCTCGAGGAAATTCAAACGAAATATGCATAATGTATCTCTGAAATACGGTGTAATTTGAAACAAAAGTGGCTCGATTCTTTTTACTCGAGTCGAGTATCCTCTTTCTTTCCAGGCCACCAATAAACTTACGATTTAGCAGAATTCTCCGGTTAACTCGACGATGTACAGAGTGAATCATTTAAATTCATCCCCTTAAAATATCCTCGAATTTTTTTATTGAAGATATTTTGAAAATTGTATGATTTCGAAAAGAAAATAATTTGATTGCAGTATAATATAATTTTTTGAGTAAATAATCATACAAAAAATATTTAATTAATAATTTTATTTTTCTCAATTTAAAGTATTAAAGCAGAGATATTTGATTTTTCAATAACAATCGATCTTTACATTTTTTAAATACCCATTAATCTAAATAGGAAAAATAATTTAGGTTTCTAAATGATTCACCAACTTCTTTTTAACATGTTTGAAGAAAAAATGAAGAAAAGAGTGGAATTTTATATTTAGAAGCTAGCTCGTCATTTTCTATATTAAATTACAAGAATCTACAATATAACAAATATATAATAAAAAAAAAAATAAAAATAATTACAATTATTCTTATATTTTAATATAAGAAATTTAACCTAAAAACATACGATTCTATTTGAAAAAAAAAAAAAAAACAAAGAATGACCTCTACACACGCATTTATATAAAAAAAACTCCATTATACCAAATTATCTCCACTTATTTCGAATTTACACAATTTCCAAAATATCTTTTTCCATACAACAATCATATTCGAAAAAAAAAAAAAGAATTCAACGATTCAAACGACTCACCCTGTATAAAAATATGTATATATATATATACCCTTTCTGTCGCGACTTTCTCGAACCTTCTCCTCGCTATCCGAGGATCGTGCATTACCAGAATATCGATTGCGACTCGTTCCGTCGATATGATACATTCGATACAGATACAGAAACTAGAGAGGTGGTGCACGGTGATTTTATCGGCGTTCCACTCGACCGCGAACAAGGTGACTTAATTAACGATTCGAAACGATCATTCTTTTTCTTTTTCTTTTTTTTTCCTATCCTTCGAGATATCCGAGAAAACGTCGATTTGATAAATATGCGAGCATACTTACGGTTTCAAACCTTAAAAAATAAAGAATAATAAGTTGAGAGAGCACAAAGGATGGATGGAGTCGAGTTAATTGTTATCTTTTCTGTAAGCCGTGGTTAGAAATCTTTTCTTTCTTTCTTTCTTTCTTTCTTTCTTTTTAGTGCGCAGGTGTGTGTAATTTGGTCACATCCATCGTCAGAAGAGAGTACATTTTCGATTTTCGGTTCCTTACTGCTAAAAGGAAGACATCCCTTTTCTTTCTTTTTTTTATCGCGGTTTAATGAATCTCTTCTGTGACGCAAATAGTAGCGGCTCGAGGAGGTGTTTAAATTTATATTGTATTTTCGTACGTGTTATTATTTGCTGCCACCAACGTTTTCTACTTTTTCTTTTTTCTTTTTTTTCATTTGCTTTTTCCTTTTTCTCGGCAACCGAGAGCACGGTGATTCTCTTTTTTTGCGGTTAAATTAAGTCACGCGTCAAGTTTTGGACGATGACTTCGGGATCGAGGAAAATCCGTTTGTGCGTTAAGACAAAATATATGAACAATTTTATATTTGTGTATGTGTGAAGTTTCGAAGGAAAAGAAGAAGGATTTCCTTCATTCTTGTAAAACAAATTTTCTCTCCCTTTGAGAGAAGAAAAATTGTTTCGAGAATTTCCTTTTAAGTTTTCTTTTTTATTATTAAAATTCTTTCCTATTTATATTCGTCAATTCGTCAAGCAATTCGTCTCTCCCTTCCTCCAACTTCTCGTAATACGTATTACATACAAACGCCGTGCGAAAGGCTGGCATTAGTCTCGACGCAAAAAAAGAACGTCGTCGTATCCATCCATCATCGTCGTCGTCGTCGTCGGAACGACAATGCAATTTAACGGCTACTTGTTTCTCAGTTTATTAAATGAGAAGAGGCAGGTGATCGTACTGTGCCATACGTGTAGTGGCATGCTCGCATGCGTGCTTTCGATAAGATCATGCATGTGCTTTCTTTCGTGATTTCCATGCAGGTGTTTCAAAGCGTGAATATATAAACCGTCACGTCATTCCGCAACCCGGGTGGCAAGCAATATTAAATCTGGATCTTGAACTCTTGAACATCGATTTCACTTCCGGAATCTAGACATTAATAGACCTTTTAAATTTGTTTTGTTCTCAACGGGAAAAGAAAAGAAAAGAAAGAAAATTCGTTCTGTATTTTTTGTATTCAATTGTATTGAATTTTATAATGAAATAAGAGAAAAGGGAAAAATCAAAGATGGATATAATAATTTAGCTTGAGAGGCAATAATTGAATTTGCGTAAATATATTTGAGAATAATTCGATTTTTAACAAGTTTCGAGACTTTTCTCTCAATTATTTTCACTTTAATTACATTTTTGATTAGTGTGAATTAAGTGTGAAATTATCCACTTGGAAAAGAAATATCTTCAATCGACACTAATCGAGTGTCCAAAAATAGCTTTCATTTTTAATGCAGTGTACAAAAAAATCGAGTGAATATCTTCTTTTCACTCTGTATAATATATATCTAAAGATATGTCGATTCCTCTCAAAATAAAAATGTCAATCGAAGCTTATTTATCAAATTATAACGATTTACATTAGAGGCTCCATCTACATCCTGTTTCATCCAACATAAATCTTAAATCACTTGATACGCAAGCCTCATTTTCGACTGGATCAACTTTTATTTATTTATTTATGGACCCACTCATCAGTGTCGTTTTTGCATTCTACAATTGCAACAAAACACATTTGAGAATAGAAAACACTCTTGACACTCTTACGATTGCCACTCCTCCAGCTAACTGACTCACTCGAAAGAAACAACTTATTAATAATCTCTTCCGGCAAAGATAAAGTAACCACCACTCGGCGGAAAATAGACTTCTCAAATATATATCACGCTATATATATATATATATTTTTTCCAACGATCTTGCTTGCCCATCCAATTATCCATCAGCACGCAAGAACATATATATATATAATGTTTATTCAATAATTTGTCATTGAAACTGTCATTCGTTGAGGAATGTCTCCGAATTCCAAGAAATCAACGTTAACCAGTTCCAATACCAGAATTGTGTATCATGCATATCCGCCTTGCCCTTGCTAATGTAATGTAAGAAGCAACAACCGCGCCTCTACCAAACAATGCTCTTTTTCATTACGTGCAAATTACGCATCACAAAGGAATTTCACAAATTCCCAATTAAAAAAAAAGAAAAAAAAATCTCTCTGGAAAGGAAAGGAGGGAGAAGTGTCGTTGAATATTCAGGAATTTTCAGGGATGAAATGAGGCCAAAAGAGAGATTTGGCCATCCTTTTGGACGAGAAGAAAGAAAGGTAGGNGAAAAAGTGTGTTTCGAAGTGTGGTTGTTCGAGAAAAAGAAAAGGGGGACAGGGGAGGGGGAATAGGGTTTCGTCTCGATTTGGTCGGTGGTCGTTCGCCGGAGGACCTCGCTGAAGCTTACCCTCTTCCCTTGCTTTCCCCGGGCACCCTTCTCTCCCGGCAGACCGGGTGGTCCCGTCGGACCCAGCTCCCCCTTCTCGCCCTGGGGCCCTGTGTGCGTGTACATCACGTGCATAAAATAAAACATGACACGTTTCTCTCGTTTCGCGCACTCTCTCTCTCTCTCTCTCTCGCTCTCTCGCTCTCTCGCGTTTCATCATGCATAGATCACGTACCAATTATGCTATTATCGGAGGGAAACTACCCCCTCTTTGGAGGGGTTGGTTTATATAATTCTTTCTTTCTTTCTTTCTTTTCGTATTTCTCTCTACTGTGTGTGTATGTGTGTATGTGTGTGTGTGTGTGTATGTTTTTCGGAAGAGAAAGAATTTGAATAAGTTTTTTAAATAGAATTATTATATCAGTAGATGTGCAATATTGATTTTTAAGCGAGAATTAGCATCTGGTATTTCTTCGAAATACGGGGGACGGATTATTACGATAAATTGATGTGATATTAACCCACGTAAGCGTCGGCCCTTTAATTCTTAGAATCTTGGAGAATCGCGTTCGTTGACGTTGTTGAACGTTTGACTGAGTTTATACGCGATATTTCACCTTCTTCGCTCCCTTCCATTCGATTGAATTCAGACAGAAGTCGTCTCCCCATTTAAACCAGTCTCGACTCTTAAGTGGCCAATATCCATCTGTATCGAGTATATATATATATATAATTGCACGTGAGAGTTTTAAAAAGTGGCATCGTTTTGAAGAATTTGAAGAAATTGATTTTTAATTAAATGCTAATTCTTTCGTTTGATAATTTGATAATCGATGTGTACGTGTGAAAGTAAAATTGTTTATATGAATGTGGATGTACGTACCGTTAAAGCCTGTGTGCGAATAACATTGTTGTACATAAATCTTAATTATAAAATGTATCTTAAAGGAAAAGGAGCACACATTTTCGAGGATAAAGGATTAATTTAACTCTTGCTTTTTGTTCAACTACAGATTCAACTACACATTTTTTAGAACTGTAATTAGTATAAACAAGAGAGAATTATGAGTTAATAGAAGAAAAATTCGGAAGAGAGAGGTTTTCTTTTCGAATATTGGAATACGTGGCATCAGAAGGATTTAAATTTTATTGCTACTCCTATTTTTTATATTATTATTATTATTAGCACTACTGTTGCTCTTAATTTTAGAAAAAAATAACATTTATTAGTAATTGAAATTAATATATTAACATTTGCTTATTTTTCAATAATTTCTTTTTTTAATCGATTGTACCAGCAACGTTTGTTTGTACAAAATTTAGAAAATTTTATTATATTTTAACGTATCACAAATTTTTATTCGCACATTCTAGATATAATAAAATATGCAAATTCGAATAAATTTTTGAAAGAAATTGAAATAAGGAATCAAGTGGATGAATCGAGGCCTAAGGTTATACTTAGGCATTTGATACCTACGAGCTCGGTCGTAAATCGCTTTTGTTGCGCTCACTGCTTTCCACGCACATGTACGTGGACAAATGATCACGAGAAAGCGCAGAAAACGTGTGATATACTATCAGGATCACCGTTCCCCTGTCCGATTGATTTGTTACCTTCTCACGTATTTCGTGGGTGGATTTATACAGCCCAGTTATACAGGGTGTTTTTTTTTTTTTAATTTGGAATTTATATTGGTTATACAAAAATTATTTATAACGATTAACTTAATTATTTTTATTCGATTCTCGTGATATTGAAAAGAAGAGAAATGAAATTTATTAATTTTGTCTTATCTTAATGAACGAATTATATTTATTATTATAAGATATATAATATTTCTATTAATATATCTATAATATATCTGATCGAAATTTTTACTATTTTATTATTTTACAAGAAACAATTTTGAAAATTTTTGTTCGACGTAAAATTTGATCGAAAAATCTTGGCACACCCTGTATGTGTTATTTCTTCTCGTACTGCAAATCCAGAAGTCAGATTATTTGATAAGTAGTTAAGATAAACTTTTCTCCTGGTTACACAATCATTTTTACATTTCGTTTGAGTAAATACCAGAGACAAGTAATAAATCTCGTGTAATATTCATTATTGAAATTGTTTGTAAAGCTTACCACCGATTTTTTTGGATTCAAATACTAATCCGAGATTAGAAGAGAATTATTTATTACACCACCTTTCGTGAAGTGAAAACATTCATTCTCGTAAATTATTAAAATGAACAGCACAAGCTCATTGTGTTATGCAATTTTTATTTATTACACGAATTTTTCATGAAAATAAACTTTTTATAAATTTAAAGAGAAAGAGATAATATTTAAATAAATAATGATTGATAGTGAGTATAATTTTTTTTTACGTTTCTCTTTTAAAATTTAAAATAACCTCGTGGATATCAAAATCCATAATGCCAATATTCGATCACCAGTCCTATGGAAATAATAATAAAGTTTGTGCATAAAATATTGTTTTTATTCGGTGTCGAAAAATTGACGAATTGTTGAAAAGAAATATTAATAAAAAAAAAAATAATTACTCTCAAATTGAAAATTCAAAAGTTAAAACTCCCTTTTTTTTTTTTTATATAAATAGTACTTTCGTACATATTCTACGATCCATATTTTATATGAATCGAAAACAGTTCCGTTGAGTCACGCTCTATTCTATGTATCTTTCCTTGTTTTTCGAATTGAAAACAACGAAGACGGATGTACGCTCGCGCAACGAAAACAACTTGTTCCAATTATTTCTCTTCGTTCAAGATAAAATCGATAATCGATGGTGAGAAAGAGTATCAATTATAGTTAAAAATCGAATTTTCTCTAATCGATCGTCAAATTTCATTCGATATCTCGAATATTTCATCCAAAATTATCAATAAAATGGATTGAATTAATAACAGAGTGATGAAATAAAAGAGCGAAATTTTTCTTCAAATTTTGCCAAGGGAGTTTCATATATTTAAATTTTTCCAATCCAAGAAAGATCAATCAAGAATTCTTAATTATTAATTGCAATTTCGAGAAGAGAAGCGTTTCTCGGTACGCCGAGAGACAATCGATTCGTTAACGGTACGAATATCGTGAATGTAGATTTACAGTTGTTAGTATCCTATAGTAAACGCGGACTCGAATAACAGTTACATCTCTAAAGGGGCATTAACTGTACTACATTCCAATCGATTGAAATGAAGGCTGTATCGAATAGGAGGAGGCGCACCTTAATGCGAATCAATTCCAGTGCAAGAAGATAGCAGCCCGCTAGAGGGGGCGCTAGATTAGCGAAATCTGATCACGTTCACTTTGTACGTGTGTAATCATTCGGACCAAAGTGTGCTTCCTCGTTCACTGTCACTTTTCCTCGTGCTTATTTTGTACAAGTCGTGTTAACGTTGCGGTAAAAACATGATGAAACGCTATTAAAGAAGGTTGTTAAATTGTATTTTGATACCCTGTACATATATATATTCTTTTTTTAAAAAAAAAAAAGAAGTACAATGATTTGAAATATGTATTGCAATTTTTGATTAAAATTTACTTTATGTAATTTAAATTAGTAAAATAATTTTATCAAAAATATCTAAGTTGTCTTTAATCTTTGTTATAATTTTTATAATTATTTATATTTAGATTAGAAGTACAATGATTTGAAATATGTATTGCAATTTTTGATTAAAATTTGCTTTATGTAATTTAAATTAACAATAATTTTATGAAAAGTATCTAAGTTGTCTAATCTAAGTCTTTAATCTTTGTTATAATTTTTATAATTGTTTATATTAGATTAGATTGTTTAAAGCTTAGTTGTTTAGTAGTCCACTAATTTTTTATCTCTGTTTTTAAAATACATAATTAATGTAAAAATACTTTCATTTATATTAATTTTATTAATTTTATGTTAAAAAACGTTTACTATTATATTAACAAGCTTTACAATTATGTATTGCTTGACATTCATTTATCCAGGAATGATACAACCAATGCCACAAGTTTAATGATATTGGATAAATACTAGGAGAGTATAAAGTTGGATTGGTTTCAATCTGTTATTGAATTGTTTGTGAATGGGGTAATGTGTACATGTTTTATTGTGAGATATATAGTTTTGCAAATTACCTATTGAGAAATACTTCATCCTGAGATTATTTGTTTGTGCAATGCATGTATCATTAGATTATCCTAGAAAATATTATATCTGTTAAAACTGTTATAACATTTAATTAAGTATACAAAGACATTTTTTTTAATAATTTGTTAATAAATACAATAATTTAAAAAAAAAATATTGGAAAATATTTCTAAAATATTTTCTAGGACACTCTAACAAAAAGATTAAAATGGAATATGAATATAAAACAAAAACTGGATGCAAACATCTTTTTGCATTTACATAGAGTGTTAATGTATTCGTGGGCGATTTTTAAAGAGTCGATTTTAGACTAAACAAACATGAAAGTTGGTATGCAAAAATTCCGCTCGACTCATCAATCAATTTTGCATTATATTAAAATGGAGATGGAATGAAATATATTAAAAAAGGAAAATTCTTGAACAAAAAAAAAAAAAAAAAAAATAATGAAATTCATAAATTTTTTAAATTTTAGGAATCATAAGAATATATTTTTATTTATTTTATTTTCATTTAAATTATCTCGCAATTCATCTCCATCTTGCTTTCTCTAAATAATTAAATTGTTTATAACTTAATAAATAATTGTCGATCGATATTTTTGAATAGCACTTTTTATATTTATTTCATCGTTTAAAGATCGATCATTCGATATATCAACACCCTGTATACAAGTATAAATGTGTAAAAGATGTTCATTTTAATTAATTTTGATTAACTGCATACGAATATATCATAGAAACGATGAATGATATTAAAAATGTATGATGATTTGAAATGGAATTGCTTTGTTTCAAAGTGGATCCTTTTTTTCAGAGAATAGAATTTTTCTTCCTAACGCATCACAAGGATATCTTTCTTTGCTTTGTTAAATGTCATATGCTCTTTTAACTGTACCATAGCTCAAGGCTATCGAGAGATAGCCTCTAATGCTTCAGTCATCCTGTTCATTCAATCATTTCTTTTCATCTAACTATGTCAAAGGAGGAAGTGAAATTATTTCTCTGAACACAACGTAAGGGATGACTTTCTTTACAATCATCAAAATGACATTGATAAATTGACATTTGTGAATTTTAACAGAGAATTGTATGATTTTTATAAAGCAAATATTGTAATTTTAAATTACAAATATACGTTATAAATATTATATTTTTTCAAATTATCCTTGAATTGAATAGAAATTAAATGTACACGTAAACGTAGAATATTTTGAAATTGAAATTTCGAAGAAGAAAATTACTTATCCCAAAATAATCTTCCTCGAAACAAAGCAAGAAGTTTCAAGAATATTCGTAGGCTTGAAAAGTCAAAATTTCCTCGAACTTTTTAAAAATTATATTAAACGAGAGATTTGAACGATATTCAAATTCTTTGTTAAACAATATTTTTACAAATCAAAATTTTTTCATCTACATTTTTTCAATAATGCAAATTCATTCTTTTGTTATCAAATAAAGTTTTAAAACTAATAATTTTAAATGTTAATAATTTTGATTTTAAATAATTCTTCTTAAACAATTATAGATACGTTATAAAAAAAAGTTATATAATATATTCAAAAAAGTTATATAATTTGAACGTTTAATTAACAATGAATATTTAAATTGCAATCTATCTTTTTGGAAATCTAGCTTTGCTTGAACGAGCAAATTTCTTAGAGTGAAGATCTTTAAGTAAATGTAAAGCTTCTCTGCTTAATTTTCTGTGTATTTTGGATTGAAATATTAGTAAACGAAGAAAAAATGCAGTAAAAATCAAAAAAAGGCCAACTGAGATAATGAGTGTACAAATATTGTTCCCCAAATTTTCTGCCTAAATGAACACGAATAATCTGTTATAATTGGTAATATGAATCTTCTGTTTTCTAATATCATGTTTTGCGAAACGAAAATTTACACATTCTCTCTAATAATGGAATATGAACAAAATGGAACATGATGCAATTAAATATAATTTTATTTTTACACATATTTGTATTTACTTTTTTTTTTGTAAAATTTATTATATATAATTTTAATAAAAAATATTTAAAAAGAATAATTTAATTTAGGAAAATGCAGATGGAAAATTTTGTTTCCAATAAAAATTATACAGATTTAAATACATATTTTCTTGAAATCTTTTATAAAGTTCAAGGAACGTCTAGAAATGTGATAATATTTACATGTACATTGTGCATGTAAATGAATGTACAAAGTGACTTGTAACATGAAACATCCACTTCAATGGAGGATAGAAAAAGTTTGTAAAAATATAACATTTTTTCTGAATTGCTATTTTCTAAGAGAACACAAAAAATGTGTTATCAAATTCAAAATTGCTCACTTTCTCCTAAGTTTTTAATTTTTCAAGAATTCCAAGTACTTATAAATATTCCATAACACTTGATATTCTCAGAATTTGATTAGAAAACAAAACAGTATTTCAGCAAAACATATATAATCTTAAATAATCTTTTCTATTTATTATGTATCTTATGTATCTATATAAAAGTATCTTTAGTGAAATTAAATATTACAATATTATATAAATAAGAATTGTATTATTATTAACAACAAGTTAAAATCATAAATATCATTATATAATATATATAATTATTAATACCAATTTGACTACATAATTTTGATTCTGATAATTTCTAATAATTCCAATAAAATTCTGTACATTATTATTATATTACATACTATTATTACATGAATATTTATCATCAATAATATATATCTTATTATAAATCTCCTCCATTCAAAATGAATCTCACATGTTATAAGACACCTTATAAGTATAGACTTAAAAGACCTAGAAAACATAATTTAAATCGCTTCATGTGGTCTTATTATGCTGCATTAATATATTATGCGTATCAGTCTGGAGAGAATTTAAATTATACCGTGTATATATATATATATGTATATATACTTACCAGGTGGTCCTGGTGGACCAGGGGGTCCTTCGAATACTCCAGTTGCAAATGGTTCCCCGTTCAAAGACGTTGTTATACCTCGGTCGCCTCTATCACCCTTGTCACCCTGCCGAGAATAACGTTGCTTCAATTAATGGACGTCTTGGAAGGAGATTAACGAGTTTGATAGGGAATCTGGTCGGGACATTTGATGTTGATATATATCATTTTTAATTTTAAAAAATGCTAATTATTGGGAGATTGTATTTTAGAATGGTGAATGTTTGAAATATTATGGAGCATTTATATATGATATTTATTGTTTTTGAAAATATTGTAGAAATATTATATTGTACTTTTTTTTTGAAGTATAAATATTTGGAATATTTTAATATTTAATATTTGGATATTATTATAATTGAATACATTCAATAGAAAATTTTCAATAGAAAAGTTACAAATACTTTTGAATTTTCTTCATTTTCTTAAAATTAAATTTCATCCAATTAGCTTGAAATGTAACACAACTCGACACAAATAATTCTCTCTTATATCTCTAATGTTACAAAATGTTACAAATCTTTCAAATTCCTTTTTTTTTTCTCCTAATAATTACTTCTAATGCCAACTATAATTAGACATTTGTCGATATATCTCATTTTTAATTTAAAAAAATACTAATTATTGGAAAATTGTATTTTAAAATGATAAATGTTTGAAATATTATGAAACATTTATATATAATATTTATTGTTTTTGAAAATATTGTAGAAATATTACATTGTATTTTTTTTTGAAATATAAATATTTGAAATATTTTAATATTTAATATTTGAATATTATTATAATTTGGATACATTCAATGGAAAATTTTCTCCATAGATAATTTTTCATAGAAAGTTACAAAAGTTTATCAATTTTAATATTAAATCAATTTTAATATTAAATCAATTTTAATATTAAATCAATTTCAATTAAATATTTTAAATAGCCTTGAAATTTAAAATAAATTATTTTAAAAATTGAAATGAAAATTTTTAGAAAAATTAAAACAATCACATTAACGATATGAATTTGTTGCATCCTTTAACAAAAGTTTGCAACACATGTTAAATAATAAATTGTGCAATAATTATTGCATCAGATTTGTAAACTTTTATGAAATTTATATAAATATATAAATTTATATATTATAATTTTATATATTTCTATTTTTTTAATTACATTCGAATGAAATTAATTCTTATAAATGTTAATGTTATATTTCTGTTGTTCCTTTATATCAAAAATCAATTTCATCTCATTTGAATAATTTATTTCGAATAAAATAGGATCGTTTAATTTTATTTCCAATTAATTATCATTTAAATACATAAGTGAAACGAATTTGTTTAATTGTTTGTTGTTTTATTCTTTGTGAGAATCACAATACACATATACGTTAGACGACGTTACTTTAAAAACACATACACACACAAAGAGTACGTGCTAATTAGTTTAAGTACAAAAGTATATTAGAGAACCAGAGAAAGCTTTACCATTAACCTTTACGAATGCAATTTTCCACAAATTTTATGGATATACGTTTTCTTCTGAATGTTTAACTCCTAACAAGCATTGTACATCATAATTTTTTCTTAGATTTCTCACAGAAGTAATATTAAAAGAAATATTAGAAAATAAAAATTTAATATTAGAAAATAAAATAAAAAAATAATGAAATATTTCCACAAGAATATTATACCATTTGAATATATATTCTATCTCCCATTTTTAATTCTAATATTTTTAATTCCCATTTGAAATTCAACAAGTATGCTCCGTTTCTTTCCTTCTTAATTTTTATATACTGATCCATTCATTTTTTACATTTTTTATCTATTATAGGAAATTTTGGAAGAGACCACGAAAAAATCCATCGAGCACTTGGACAAAAGTAAAGTTCTCCAATAGGAGAGGTTGAAGTAAAAAGTTCGTAGACAGAGGGATTTTTAAGGTATCTCTAACAGTCAATTGTAAAATGAAGCTTCTACGATCGCAGCCAATTAGGTCAATAAGAGGAATCAAAGGGAATCGGCCTAATCAAAGGCACTACGAACAGCCATAGGGGGTCGATGCATCCTCTTTCTTCCCTTCTATTTGCTCGAATGTAAGCGTTGGCAGTTTTCCTCTCTAGAATTCTATACTTTGATCGTGGTTAATAAGCTTAATATTTTTGGAAAATCTATTCTGCCCATTGAACGAAATATTCGAATCGAAGTGATCGAGTTGTTTGAGGCATTATTCGATCGAGATATCGTAAGAATATATTGCTTTGAACGTTCCGTAAAAAGTATTATTTATTTATTAAAATTTCAATGGAAAAATTAAATTATCGTGAGTGTAGTTTATAGTGAAAAAGTAATTGAATGTCTGATTGGTAAATAATTGGAAAATAGCAAAAATTAAACAATGTTGGATCTCAGATTCAAAGGATTTATTTTTTAAATTTTTGGCCACAAAATTTTTAAAAATAGAAATCACAGAGATTAATATTAAACAAATTTCCTAATTGGAAAGATAAGAAAATTTGTTGAAAAGAGAATTAAAAAGTTGGCTCAATTATAAGAAATGATCCTTGTAAAAATTATACCTTTAAAGTGATATTACTTTTAAAGTGAATATAATAAAGATACAATTCTAGATGATCCCTTTCGTGTTGCAACACAATATTCCTCAAGTTACAATGAAAATTTACACTGACTTTTCGCTACGGTTTCTCCTTAATAAAAAAGAAACTAAATAATGCATATATATAAAGTTTTATGTATTTTATATTCAAAACAAGAAAAGACTTTATAAACTCTGGGAGTTGATTTCATCCTTTCAAAGTGATTTTCTGCAAGAATGAAAGCTGTTCTTTGCCACCAAGTTTCCAATTAAAATTAAAATTTTCAGGATGAATGAATTCTCTTGAGTTAAGAAAAGTTATCATCTCTTTAATTATGTGTATATTCAAATAATAATTTCAAAATGAAGATCAGTTTTATGAAGGATTATTACTTATATTATTTCAAAAATATCATATTAATTCATAAACATTGTAATATAATATCAAGTGATTTGAATAATGTGAACAGTCTTTGTTATAAAGTAATGTACATGTAAAGGTCAGAACTCAAATTCCAATTCCAATACTCAATATGACCAGACAAAACTAGTTTATCAACGCCATCTGTCGTCAATCCTATTGCAAGTTTAACTAGTTAAACAATACCAATATTCTCTACTTGTTTTGACCAAGTTAAAATCAGCATTAACGAAACTAGCCAAAACTAGTCAGAAACAGCCTGCAATGCCAATCCATCAAAACTTAACCCAATTGGCCAATACTAGATACCAAAAGTACTAATCACCATCGAAATCAAATAAAGTGAATTAAAATCTAACCTAAAATTTGTCAATACTAAAAATATTCAGAAACTTGGGATTAAGTATAATTTCTTTTTTTTTTTTTTTTTTTGTAATTTAAGTAATTTAGTATCAGTTTCATAATTTACACGCAAAGTAAATATATAAAACATAAATATATAAAATATTGATGTATTATATATAAAAAATTCATCTTCTTTTCAATTCTGAATAATGACAAGATAGTTTAAATAATATTACAAAATATTCTTTCAAATTCCTTTTTTTTCTCTCCTAACAATTACTTCTAATGTCAACTATAATTGGAAAACACAAAAATACCTCTCGAGACTTATTCATTACTTATTATCAAGTTACAAATACTTTTGAATTTTCTTCATTTTCTTAAAATTAAATTTTATCCAACTACTTGAATTGTAACACAACTTGATACGAATAATTCTCTCTTATATTTCTAATATTACAAAATATTCTTTCAAATTCCTTTTTTTTTCTCCTAACAATTACTTCTAATGTCAACTATAATTGGAAAATACAAAAATAGCATCTCTCAAGACTTATATTCATTACTTATTATCAAGTTACAAATAAAATGCAAAATACTTTTGAATTTTCTTCATTTTCTTAAAATTAAATTTCATCTAGCAAACTTGAATTATAACACACGAATAATTCTCTCTTTGTCTTTATTTTCCAAAAATCAAGCCTCTTCCACGAAAGCTTCCTCCTCCCCAAATATCATCAAATGAAAACGAAAGAGCAATGTATACGTTACCTTAGGACCCGGAAGTCCCGATGTACCAGGTGGACCAATCGGCCCAATCGATCCCGGAGTTCCCTTTTCACCCGGCGGCCCAACGTCACCCGGAGCTCCTTGCCTTCCCTCGTGGCCGGGAAGACCCTCGGCACCCGGAGGACCGGGTGGCCCCGGTGGTCCAGGCTCGCCTGGCTCTCCCTGTTACGTTTCCAACAGTGTTACGTCGTTACCGCTTTCTTCCGGCGAGAGCCCTCGACAAGGAGTGTCTCTCGGTACTCGTCGGTTTGTGCCACAGGCGGAGAAAGAGAGACAGAAGGGGGGGAGGGTATAAGGAAAGAGGAGCAGCAGGAGAAAAATCGTCGGTGGTGAATTTTATTACAAAGAGGCAGAAGAGAGAGAGAGAGAGAGAGAGAGAGAGAGAGAGAGAGAATAGGAGGAAGAGGATTGCGGACAGAGATAGAGAGAAAGAGAAAGCGCGTTGAGAAAACTGTGCGTGTATTCGTTTTATGTTATTTTCTTATTCGTTTTACGTTATTTTCAATCGTCAGATTAATCAGAGTATAAAGATATTTGACATATCTCTGTAATTTTTATCTTTGGAGTTCTGATATTGAAAAGTATTTGATAAAATTGTTCGATATCGATGTCCTTATGGTACGGCGTTAAATATTTTTTTGGACAATCTGGAAAGATGTTTAGATTATTCTTAGTGATTTAATATAAAATAGTGATTTAACAATCAATATGGCGTCAAATATTTTTGGTAACAATTAAAGAGGCGATCTAAGAAATTTCAAGATTAATTATCGTGATTTTTGATAAATTTTTTAATAAATTGTTTCGTTTAATCGCACGTGTATTATTTTATATATATATATTAATTTAAAGATATAAATTGCAATTAATCTCTGTGAGTTATAAAATAAAATTGAAGATATATTATCGTAACATAGAATGGATTCTACAAATGTAAATGAAATTTTAATTCAAAATAGTTCTGTGAATCGTTAAATGGGAATTAGTTATAATATTTCATCTTGATCTTTCCGTGTGACGTGATCATAGCAAAGAGTTAAGTATTAATTTATAATCTCGACAGTGAAATATGATTGGGATCGAAACACTTGTAGTTAATAGTTAAACGTATGATTCTTGCAAGAAGATTATTAAGCTGCTCGTCTAGTTGAATAATGAAGTGTATACGATATATATTTTTACAAAGTGCAGACTATTAATGAGAAATACTCAAACGTGTTTGTTTTTTATCGTTAATTATATGGGAAACTTAAACTTTGAAAGAAAATTCTTTTGAAAAAAAAAAAAAATTAACTTTTCAACGAATTTTGAAAAAGAATTTTACTTTTTTTATATATAATATTTCAATATTAAATCTAAAGATTTATTTATTTATAAAAATATAAATGTCTGTAATAATGTTATTAAATAATTGAAAATTTTTTATAAGAAAAAAATATTTCTAACTTTGAAATTATATTATTTGATTAATAAAATCATGTTAGAAGTTGAAAATACATAAAGTTTTTTATTTACACATTATTATGATACAACTTAAATTATATTTTATTATGCGATTTTAAAATACTTTGCATAATCATCAATGATAGATTGAATCACTGAATATTGACGAGAAATAAAAATAGATACCATATACTTTACATAATAAGCATGACAAATAGGTAAATATAAAAGGTGTCGAAATGGATAACATTCAAGCGTGTTTGCTCATAGAAGCTAATACGCCATTCAATGTATGGAATTCAACTATCGTAAACAGAATCAAGAATGAAAATTTCCCAAGTGGATGTTAAATAATAAATATAAATTGGTTTAGGTATTCATAATCTATTTTATAAGCTATAATTAGAATATGTTTTGCAGATGAGAAATATGTATCTTTATGATGCAAGAAGAAGTATCTTAATCAAAGATAAACTACTTATCAAAACTTTATCAAAACTTATCAGAACTTTCATCTTGCACGACATGTTTCAAGGTAAATGTTGTTTGAAGTAAAGTTTGTACTAATGATTCAAGATATAAAAAGAAGAATTACCTCCAACCTATTTATCTCATTCTCTTTGAATGAAGAAGTTGATGTTTTTTTTAAACCCAACCAATTTCTCATTAATTATATTTACATATCTCTTAGAATATGATTCCAATTAATATTTTGTTTGCCAAGATAAATCAATGTGATAATTATTAATGAATTTCTACAAATAAAGGTTTTAAATCAAATGTGAAAAAAAAAATGTAAATGTGATGAAATTTAAATGAAACTAAAAAAATCAATTGATCTAATTAATACTTATTATTCCACGCACAGTTTTAAATTCTGAGAGCAATCATGCAAAAATACTAGTCAGAAATACTTATTTAGAACTCAACAGAGTGGATGCAAGTAAACTTATGTAATAAAATTTGGTAATAATTTTTAGAAAAATATTTTCATTTCCTTTTCAATACATTGAATATTGCACAAGCATCAAATGACGTTTAAAATTGTACTTTAAACAACTGTACAAATAAAAGAATAGGAAAACTAATTCTAGTATAGTGGATATGATCTATTTTAATAATTCTAACTATAGGTATAAATAGTATACATTGTTAAGAAAAAAGATTTATAATATATAATATATAATATGTATAGAATATACGTTTAACTTATAAATTTATGAAGAGAACATTTTACATTATAACTTATTTCAATGAAGTATGGACCTCTTATGTCTTCTGTCTGATATTTATCATTATCCACTTTAATTGGAAAATAAATTCCAATTACCCTGCTCGTAGGAGGTTGTTGGCAAGTAAAAACACTTTGCACGTGAGTAAGATGAAAAAATGCTTTCAGTAACCGTACACGTTCAAGGTATACATTACCGTTCATGAATATCCGGATACTTTGCTTGATTTGTGGCAACAGTGCACGAATATTAAAATTGATGACACGATGACGATCAGAAATAATATTTATGAGATCAATGTCAGGATAAATTATAAATGCAAATTATTTATCAATATAATAAAATGATATTGTTTTTTTTTTCGATATTCAATAAATTTTGATCGAGTAATTTATTAACAGCGACGATATCCCAAAAAATTGGGATCATTCGATTTTTTTTTACCACAAAATCTACAAAATAATTTAATCAATGTTGGAATGTTAAATGTTCTTGTCAAAAAATTTAAATATCGTAAATAATATATTTTAAAATCAAATGGTTATCAAAATTTAAACGATTTAAACTGTTTTTGGGCAGAATTGCATTTTAATCGCATTCAAAGAGACAATCCAAGTATACGGATATTTTTTTTTTTTTTTTTTACCTACATAGACATATGTATATACACAATATTGCAATCGTACAAAAATATATCTATTTGCATACAATTTGATACTACATTTATCTAATATGTAATAATACATAGCGAACACGTTGTAATAAATTTTCAAAAAAAAAAAAAAAAAAAANAAAAAAAAAAAAAAAAAAAAAACTTACGACTGTAATAAAATTTCTGAAACAGGAAATAATGGAACATGCAATACACGCACGTGCGCGCACTTTCGTTCATACAAGTGCGTTGTTGAATATGCGTGACATATTGGATGTAAAATGGCATGCAGAGAGAACAGGACCGTGTTTTCTTCTTTACGTCTCACGAATACCTTTTCTTATTACAATTTTTCCTCTTTTTTTTTTTCTTTTGCTATGCCACATATATATATATATATATATAAAGTGTCTCACAATGAATGACTTTACGTGAAAGAAACATTCCAAAAAGTAGTAGAATATAAAGTTAATATAAACTTCTTTTTCTATTTTTTTTTTTTTGTTCCAAGAAATTAAATTTGAAAATTCTTATACATGGACTTCACTCTTTCCAGACGGTTTTTCATCAATTTTAAAGAATATTCAAATTTAATTTTCTCTGATGAAAAATTTTTATTTTGAATTTTCGTTTTCATATGTACAATCATATTTTTTCCAGTAGTGAAATCATCGATTATAGAACACGCTATATGTATACATATTGTAATGATTTTGTAATCATAGACGGTTGCAAATTTCTTTTCTTTCTTAGTTCTTATTTATAAAACAATAACTATTAAACAATAACTAATAATTGTTATATTAATTATAAAAGAATAATGTTTATATAGTTTTTAAAATTTAAAAAATTTTAAAAATATATGTATATCATAAGATATTGCCCATTTACTTATATTTATGAGATAGAAAGTAATTAAATTTTAATTGTATTAATAATGTTAATATCAATATAACGAGTTGATTAATTTTCTGATTTTTTTAATATTATGACATTTTAATATAATGAAAACTTTACTGTTATTAATTCTCCATTATCATTTTTTAAATCTACTTTAACTCTTTCTAGATTAAACTAAAACTTTTTTCATTCATAATGAATTAAGAGTCCATTACTTCACTTATATTAATTGCTTCATGATAAAAAGAAAATTTCAAAAAATTAAAAACGATCCAATTAATAGTTCAATTTTATGTAATAGTTTGATAACAATAGCATATTTAAAATACATAATGTATTTTATTTTGTACTTATATTAAAAATTATAAATTATTATATTTTTTAATTAATTCGTACTATGAAAGAATTTTTGATTATATTTCATAGAATATGGATTTTAAAAGATATATTGTTGTATGTATTGTTTTTGTAAAAACAAAAGCTTTTATGTATTTTTCAATTGTTTTATTTTCCACATTCAGAAAATTAATAATATAAGTTTAAATTGCATTGTATTGTTCTTGAATAAATTGGAACTATTCTCAGTTGTAGGAGAAAGAACAGAAATTAAAAACCATCCTGATGTGTACACAAGCAATGCTCCATTAGCAATCTTAAATATTCACACATTTGTTACATAATTTGTAACATTTATTTAAAACAACAATTATTTAAGTTATTATAATTACAATTTTATTCGTATTATTACTTACTCTCGTTGTAATCCAGCTTGCAAATAATTTTAAATTAAATTCTCATAATAAGAGAATGCAAGATATTCAGATCACCAATTTAATTGAAGTTTTGAGCACTGGTAGATTTTACAAAAGAAAATTCATTATAAAACAGCTAATTAAACCTATCATTAAAAATTATTTTTTCACAATATTTCAAGATTACTATCAAATATATTTATTTAAATAAATTTAATAAAAATTAAGATTCTTACTTAATTTCTTGAAAAGAGGTATGAATACATTTAGTATTCTTCATATTTAATAGAAGATTAACAATAAGTTTAAATTATATACCGAAAAAAATTATTTTTTAAATTAAATATAAATATCTTAATATTTTATATTATTAATTTAAATATTTCAATATTAAAATTGATATGAATATATAATATAATCACTAGATTGCGAATTTTTTATGTAATTCATAAAAAACATTTATATATTTGTAAAATATATTTAAAAAAAATCATGCCATTAACACTCTTTTTTATTTCATCCCGATATTTCAATTAGTTGCTGTGATATAAAAACTCAAATTTTCCATAGCGTTTAAGATTGTGCGAAAATTACGAATGGGTGACACAGTGACTTACATTTTTTCTAGGAATTACGTACTATATTTTTCCAGGAATCGTGTCTGTCTGAAATTTGAGATAGGTCAGTACAAGCGAATAAGACAAAACGATAATAAACGATTAAAAATTATCTTTTCTTTACAGGACCATATCTCGGGAATCGAAAATAGTATCGAGATAAACAAACAAGTGTCTTAAAGGGGACAGTTTAACAGTTCTAATGATCGTTCATTCGTTGATTAGAAGTTAGTAGTTTCGGAATTACAGCGATTCAAAGTTTTTCTAATTTTAATAGAATATCTAAAGTTATAATATAACTTGCGATAACTCAGCGGAGAGAGATGCGAGCGAAAGATCTGAGCGAAAAGCATGGAATAAACGATTAAAAATTACTCTTTTCTTTACACGATGATATCTCAGGAACCGAAAATCGTATCGGGATAAACGAAAATGCGTTTTAAAGGGGAAAGTTTCGCGCTTCTAATGACCGTTCATTCGTTGATGGGAACTCACTATCTTCGGAGTTATAACGATTCAAAGTTTTTCTAATTTTAATATACTTTTAACGAAGCTTTAAAGTTAATTGCTCTTGCGTGTTTAAGAATGTTTTTCTCGATTTTTAACCGTCAAAAACGTTTCATTTTGAAGAAAATTTATGCAAAGTATGCAAAAATATGCATTTACATAAAAATCCGCAATCTAATAATCACTAACAATTACGGAACGAACGTGACATCGAATAAATAAATTAATAAATATTTCATTAATGAGAAACTCACATTCAAGACACTCGTGTTCAAAGTTTCACCTCATTAAAATACACGTGGCGTTTATTCAACGCATCGCCTCAACTTAATGCATCATTGAATCTTTAATCATGAATATTTCAAAAGATATCGAATACCTCTTTGCTTGTTATATACGGAGTATTTTTCTAAACAGTACATAACAGAGATCTGCAAGTGTTCATCACGTTAACAATAAAATCGGTAACTTGAACGTCTTGCACTCCTCCTGCTATCAAATTTACACGATAAAACAGAGACTGTTATCCTACACGGCCCTGAGGAAGAAGGATATAAAAGAATGAAACGATACTTGGTAACGAAGTTGTAAAATAAGAAGGTGCAAGGTAAATTGTATATCTTTCGATACAACTAACGGTCATAAAGGGAAATTTCAATACGATTTCTTATCCCTTCTCAAGGATTTTATCTTTCTATTCTCGAAACTTCCTTTATATTTTCGTTATTATATCGATTCACCAGATAAACGATTTTTTTTTTTTTACAGAAAATTTTGGAAATTTTGGAAATTTCTCTTTCATTAATTTTTACATTCTCTCTACAATTTTCTTTCTTTTTTTCTTTCTTTTTTTTTTTAATTTTTTTTTCTAAAAGAATAATACACAATATATGCATGATAAAAATACATTGAATATATTCGATTCGATATATTTGTAGAATAAAATTTATGGAATTTTCTCGGCTATTTTCCGCGTGAAAAATGCGAAATCGAATGTCTGGAGAATCGATGACAAGAAAAGGATAAGGAGAGAGGGGAGAGGGGCTCCGAAAGAGCAGGCGCACTTACTTTCAGTTGTATGATGGTCTGCGCTGAGATATTATGCCCTTGCTCCTGAAGTCCCTAGAAGTAGGTCAACACTACGGGTAAAAACCAAATCGCTACGCAGACGAAAACATAGTGGGAGAGGTTGGGTAGGGTGGGTAGTGGGGGGAGAAGAACCTAAAATGGATCTTTTCTTGGGATATATGTATATCTCGTTTCTCATTGCTCTTCCGTATCCAAGGCATGCCCAGAGATATACCTAAATACTGTAACTTAAAGTAAATACCATTACCAACCAAAAAACCAAATACGACAAAATGCGGCGGTGACAGTTCCAGGTGGAAGAATGAGCGATGCGATCGAGGCAAAGAAATGTTATAAGTTATTTTTGAATCGCGGATAGGAAAAAACTTGTTGGAGTACAATAATTTATAACTAGTTTCGAAAATCCAATTGCAAAGAATTATTGTATTTTATATTGCAAAATCAAATAACTAGATAATATGTAGTTTTGAAAACTACAAATTTGATCTTTGAAAATTTGCAGACTACAAAAAACTAACAAAAAAAGAATAAAAAGTAGTTTTAATTATCAAAAATGATATCCTGATATAATAAAATAACTTAATATATATGTAACATTTTTGTTTCTTTAAATTTTATTTAATAGCAATAATAAATAAAAAACAATGTAATTTCACATTTTACAATATTTAATCACGCTATTCTTGATGGAATCGCCTAAAACCTCGAAGAGGTATTAAAAATCTCCATCTCTGCCTATAATCTAAAAGTAAAGGGAGAGAGAGAGAGAGAGAGAGAGAGAGAGAGAGAGAGAGAGAGAGAGAGAGAGAAAAAGAAATGTCATCTCGACGTCTCCAACATTTTCCATACCGAAATACGTCAATCATTGGGAAAGGGAAACCGCAGGTTTTTCTTCCAAATAGAATGGTCGCCGTCGCACTTGAGACCAACGAGTGAACGCTACACCGAAAGCAACCGCACGAGGCAACGACTAGAAATAGGATTGCGTCTAGGAGCGAGGACAGGGAGATAGATTGGAGACGTGATGGTGGTTGGTGTATTCGTGGACACGCATGGACGATTGAGCCGTTGGGATTCGAGGACGAGGGAGAGGAGGAGAAGAAGGGAGAGAGGAAGAGAGAGAGAGAGAGAGAGTGGACGAGCAGATGGTACACCGCACACAAAGAAAGAGAGACAGACAGATAGGGGGGATGGAGGGAGAAGGAGAAGTAGCGGTGAGAAGAAAGATAAGGGTACGAGAAGCAGGAGTAGCGACGACGAGAAGAGATTTGTGAACAGCAACACGAGGCCGTGTCGCCTTCCGAAGAGGCCGGTTACCTTCAGAGCGACGATTTCCGCATAGCCAAGCGTCCCGCCGCGGAGCGTCGTCACCGACCTCTTTAACCCTAATCCCTGTGCATTGACCCGTAGGCGGAAACATGGTTTATATTGTTAATCTGTATCATCGAAGATCGATGCGTTGTTGTCGTTGTGAGAAAATAATAAGTTGTGTGTGCGTGTGTATATGTGTATACACGGTGGCGTGTGGCCCAGGCCGCCATCGAGAGTCCAAAGTTTCTTAACTTTTCGAGGTTATGGTCGATTTTTATTCGTATACTTTTACGTATACTAATCACTTGAATTTTAATGCGAATATATTTACGTGTAATAAAATTTGGATAACTGCTAGAAAGTTTCATCAAGCATATACAATTATGAAGTATATAAGATATTTTATATAAGTATATAATATAAGTATATTTATATAAGTATATAAGATATTTATTGGTAAAAACATGAGTTTGTTGGCTCATAAAATTTTCTTTTCTTTCTCATTAATAAATTATTTTAATATTTCATTTGCAAGAGAATTCTAACTTGAATTAAACTTTTGAAACTTTTAAATAAAATTATTAAAAAGTGTAATAATAGAATTGGTCGAATTGAAATTTGATTACAATTACAATTATGCAGTGAGATATTTTACTTGTTGGTAAAAATATGAATTTGTTGGCTCATAAAATTTTCTTTTCTTTCTCATTAATAAATTATTTTAATATTTCATTTGCAAAAGAATTCTAACTTGAATTAAACTTTTGAAACTTTTAAATAAAATTATTAAAAAGTGTAATAATAGAATTGGTCGAATTTGATTTCAATATGCATTCCAATTATAAAGTCTGAAGTTTTTCTTGCATTCTGTCAAAAGAATAGATTGCGAGAACAATTAATATAGATCATTCTGTGCGTAGTTATCCAATTTTTACAGTATTTTTTATCATATTTTAAGATCGTAAATGTTATTATAACTTTTGAAATTTTTATTATTTCAAAAAATTAACTGTAAAAGTTAACTAAACTATCTTTATTGTACATAGACTTATTAATTTAAAATTTATCAAAATTATAGGATAAATTAATGTATAATTTTATCTTTCAACAGATGATGAAAAAATTACTAATGATAAAATTCAGTCTGTAAAAACAAAGAGGAGTTAAAACCAACGTATTAAAAATATTTTCATCCAATAATTTTCTTAAACTATTCCTTAAAAATGAAAAGGAACTTCTCGCACGGACTCTCGATCGCAACGTGGCGAAATTATCAGCGAGAAATCGATATATCGAGTGTTGTTCGCCACTATTGAATCGAGAACCAAGCTTCGATCTCTCAAATACACATACTTCGTGTGTGCATGTACATAAATATTCGCGTTATAGGCGCAACTGCTCATCGTAATTCATGCCGTGTCTGTTTCATCAGTGGCAGCCTGTATTACATGTCCGTTAAACATTACCAAATGCTAATTATAGTTAAGAACGAAGCCGTTGTCCTCGAATCGTCGAGCTAACGAGAAACATCGAGATTCACTGTCCATGAGTTTCTACAAAAATTGCTGCTGGAAATTATCTTGATTACACGTAACACGTGTTGAACGTTGTTCCAATCAGAAAATTTCATCGAGATAATATTATTCGGCTCGTCTTAACGATTAACGATTTTGGGAATTAATTATGAAATTGTATTAAGAAAAAAGTATCTTAACTTTTTTTCAATGTTCGCTTATCTTCGTTGACTCGATTCTTTGTTTTTGAATGAGACGAGCACGTAATAACCATTTTGAAATTTTATCTTTCTTTCTTTCTTTCTTTTAAGGAAGATGAAAAAGTTTCGCTCGAGAGAAAGAAAATTATAAATACTCATTTTATAAAGTTATAATTTTGATGATTCTTTTTTGTAAATTCGAAAATTACTACTACGTTTCTTATAATTTTATGCATGAATTTTGACAATTGATTAAAGAAATTACCAAGCTTGAAAAATTTTTTAATTTTAACTTTTTGATTAAAAAGTTCTTTTGCCACTCTTTTCTATGGAATAAAATTCTATTTTACTAAAAATTAAGATAACAAATGATTAACAACGATATAAAATATCATAAAAATTAATATTTTCCAATTGGAACGTTTTTCTTTTAGTACATATATATATATATATATATATCACGAGGTGTGTAAATAAAAATACATTCTCTCTCGAGGAAAATACATCGTTTATCCTTCGTGTCATTTTGCTCCACGTTTCCTTTCACGTCTCTATTATTTTTCTCTCATCCATCCATTCTGTTGCTGATGTACAGAATTCGACGAGATTGGTTTCTGAAGGATGGCAAACGTATAGATCGAAAGAGAAACGATATACTTTCGCGTGTTGCACGCGAGTACAGTTAGTAGAACTAAAGTGTTCGAATGGTATGGTAGAAATCTATTCACCGTGTAATAAACGTATACGCATAACATTATCGATTTATCGAAACAAATTGCACTTGTATATATAAAATAATTCTTCTCTGATTACGTTTCCAAATTTCTCAATTCAAAGTCGTCATCTCTGTTTTTACTTGATTCGATACACTACGTTCTGTATACATTCAAACGTACGTAAACTTCAAGGAAAATTCAATACACGTGAACGTCTATAATACAAAATTTTTCAAAACTAACTAATATATCAATTTTAATTAATCGTAAATATTTAGTTCTATATGTGTATATATTACTCATTTCACAATTCAAAATTTACAGTTTATTATTAATACAAAAAAGACTGTATTTTTTAATCTCGATAATCTAAAATCATAATTTTTTATAAGAATCATAATCACAATTATTATAACGCGTAAAAACAATATTTGATAATTATAATTTACCTTTCTTTGACTTTCACGTGACAACTATAATTACACAGCACTTAATCACGATAAATTCCCTCTCCACACGTTTCGATCCCCAACGTACACCATATCGCAAGTACAATTTGTCTCGACAAAATGGCGAAATCCATCGACGAGTAATTTCCTACCACGACGTTCGAATACTTTTATTTCACGTTGCTGCACATCGTTCACCAAACTGATTAAACTGCGCCCTGTCTCCTTCTCTAGATAACGTTAGCTAGATACCTTTACTGCGGAAAAGACATCGAAACCAGGACTGCCAAGCTCTCCTTTCTGCCCTTTCTCTCCCGGTCGCCCCTGCAAAAAGAAAACGAAAATACACCGTTGTATTTGGATGGAAAAAAAAAAATAATAATAATCGAGAAGAAAACGCTATTATGTCGAAAATATATATATATATATTCGGCTTCGAAATTTTAGCTGGTTCAATTTTATACACGCGTGAAAACACACTCGACCGATGTTTCTTCGACGTGTCGCCGCAGTTGTGTTTCGAGTTGGTGTTTCGAATTTTACGCTTCCTTCCTTCTTGTTTTTCTTTCGAATATTGTACAGTCTGACCGGGTTTTCGTGCTTTCGCGTTCCTCCTTTGTAAAACAGCGAGTTTTTAACTCGCTCTCGGATATCGTAAGAGCAGTTTTGTTTGAATAAAACGTGAAAATAAAAAAAGTTGTGAAATAGGAAAGTAGAGTTTATATTTGTGGATTGTGTAATTTGAAAGTTACATATCTATGCTATTATTATTGGTATTATTTTTGCTATATACGAGCAAAGAAAATAAATTTAATTTTTAAAATAAATCACGTGATATCACGTAACTTAAAAAAAAAATATTTAATTTTTTAAAGTATCATTTTTTATTTATTAATTACGATTCTATGTTTTATATATTTTGTATATTGTATATTAATCCTGTTACAATTTTTTTTAACAAGCAAATAGCCTTTTACAAATAAATTCAAACGAAAAATATTTATTTATTTGTCTCGCATTTTATGCTTCTCTTGTATCATAGCAGCATTCAGGAAGTTTAATTTTATCATTTAATAGTGGTATCAAATAGTGGTATCATTTTTTGAGAAAACAATGCGATACGTGTAATCCAAATAACTTCGATATTTTTTCATGCTCTGGTTTGCAATATATTTACATATAAATTTGACGCGCAAAGCTTGTCGCATGAAAGGGATTAATTATAAGACTTTCATTTGATTCTTTTTAATAATAATAATAAAAAAAAGAGAGAAATAAATAACTTGAAATTTGAATTATAATAGGATAATTTTAGGAAACGAATTATATAGATTCAAATTAGAGAAACGTGTATATGTCATAATAATTTTTCCAAAATTTTTCCAAAATTGTTGCATAGTTTCCAAAAATCATGTTATTTATTAATTCAATAAAACAATTCAAACAATTTAGAAATATTGAATTAAAATTCATACAAATTTCATGAAAGATTCAAAAAAGAAAAGAATCAAAATTACATGATTCTAGATTTTGAATGATTTTTTAAATTTTAATCATTTCTTTCATTTTAAAACTTATTCTCAAACATATCTTTTATTTTTTAATTCTTATTTTTTTATTACATCATCAATTATCAACATTTCTAATATATATTGCAAATTTCAAATTTTTTTATTTTAAAATTATTCGTAAACGATAAGATTTGCAATTTTATTAAAAAATTAATTATTCAGATTTTGAACAGTTTAAACGAACTATTTAAAGACACCATTTCTCTCGTTGTTATGATGAGTAACAAAAATATGAATATTCCTCTCTACGTTCGTTTCATTCCACTCTAAATATATTTCAGCATCGAATATTAAGATTACAGAAGTTAAGTTTCCAGGCGTTGCTCGCAATGGAAACTTCTAATAATATTAACCCAATATTTTATGGTTTCTTCAAACAATTGCTTCGTATTCCACATTTGAAAGAATCGATCGACTGTCTAAGACCTGGTGCACATGAGCGATTATATGTCGCGTCGTATATCCTTCCTTGTTTTTCGAATTGAAAACGAAGAAGACAAATGCCCCTAATGAATAAGAACGAATGAGAATTATTTTAAATTGGATTAAGATAAATTACTCTATTATTCCATTATTCATTCTCAAATTAATCATCTAGTTAATACCAGAATAAAAATATAGAAAAGAATCATTTAATTATTCACTAAAAGTCTAAAAAAAAATTTCAAATATTTTTCAGAATTTTTTTTTTTCTTTTAATATTGTCGAATATCTCTTTCGAGGACTCGAGTTCACCAACTCTACTTATTCCACAATCACTTCACGTACTCTCTTACTCTCGTTCCACTCTCAAATATCAAATATTCGTAAATCGTTGCGAAACAACGTCAACATTAACATCAATCCAACGTTCTCAAGTGTTTAAGAAAAATTTCAACGGGACGAATTCACAAATTACGTTTCAATACAAAAAGAGAGCGAAGAGAGAAAAAAAAGATTGCAACAAGATTGAATACAATAAAGCCCCCTAAGACCCCTCCCTCGATATATTGGAAAAAGAGTTTAAGCGTCGAACAGGGTTAAGAAAACTTTTCAATCCCCCGGTTCGAGCGAATTTTTGACGCCTCGTCCAGTGTATCGGCTATCTTCCTAGCCACACACACACACACACACACACACACACACACACACACACACACACACACACACACACACACACACACACACACACACACACACACACACACAAAAGAGACTCGAATCGACTCGTCAGATCGATCGAAATTCTTTCAAACCAGAAAACCGCGCCACCATCAGGACAGAACAAATATCGCGCGATATTTGCAATGCACTCGTATCACCCGCCCTCCGCCCTCCACCCTCGTTTTTCTCTTCCCCATCCCGTCCCATCTCGTCTCAACGCTTACCTAGCGCGCGCACACGCACGCCCAACCACAATTCCCCGTTTCTCCGGCTTTCCCCCCTCCCCCCTCCTCCCCGCGACGAAATGCACGCGCGTAACACGTGATCTCCCCGTACCCGAATCATACCTTCCAAGTATTTACAATTAAAGCGGAATTCGGCGTTCGCGCATGCGCGTCACGTATGAACCTCACGTTTGAAGAAACAACGATGTTATATACCGCCGGTGTATTTGTATTCCCGATACGTGACCTTTTATCTCCGTTCGAGAAGAGAGCAGTTTCCGCGGAATTTCTTTCTCCGTTTTTCGAACTTTTTTTCAAGCGGTAAATTTTTGGATATAATATATATAAACAGGGTGGAATAGGATGTTGTAAAATTTGACGAGGCGATTCGAACGATTTAAAATTTTAAAAAGGAACGTTGAGTTTGAAATTTGAAATTTTTTTTTTTCTTTTCAGTATTTGGAATATTAATTATAATTCGATAATATTTAATATTTATGGACGCTTTAAATTATTGTATAGATTTTAAAATTTTATCTCTATGAAAAGAGAAAGAGAAAAGTAGAAAAGTTTGAGAGAGTATCTTAATTCAGAAATCGGAATTATTGGTATTTATTCTACGTGGTCATCCATATTAATATATTCGCGAATAATAAGCGAATAAGAGTGAATTTTTCTCCTGCTCACGTTCCACGTATCAAATCGATTATTTGTTTTTTTTTTTTTTTTTTTTTTTTTTATTTCATCGCGATCAATTTAACACGTGACACGTTTCTGTAACATCGTATCTGTAATGGTAAGCGAATAACATCGTTCCTTGTTTTTCTTGCATTTAATTATCACGCGTAAATTCGTTCTTCGAGTCGAATTTCAATTTTTGTTGATCAATCGTGATATTTGAAAAATCTCGAAATAATTTATACAATAGTAGAGATTGAAAATAAGTTTTTAATTGTAATGAAAAATATAATGTTGAATTTAATATAATTTAATATGATTTGTTTATGAGGCATAAAAATATATATGCAATGGATATGTAACTTTCGATCACGTGGTTATATTATCAAAAATTAAAATATTTAAAAGATTAATGCGAAAAAAAATATTCATTCATATTTATGCAATATTCAAACATTAATATTTTCACGAGTGCAATAAATTAATTGGAAAATAAATAAATAGAGTTCATTTCATTTTTGAAATATCATAACGTGTAATTTACTTTAGATATTTTATACATTTTTGCATACCATACATGGTTTCATACATATTTAACATTTAAATTTTCCATAAATGCATAAACATCTGCAACCAGCCAATAATATTTAAATTTTTCCCTTTACCCGAATCTTTGTGTGAATTTTATCTTTCTTTTGTATTTATTATTTGTATTTATTATTTGTATTTATTATAGCATCCTATTATTTATAACAGATATAAAAAATGTTGATTTCAAAATAAATACAAAAATTGCTAATTTCGGTTGAAATTTATTCATCAATATTATAACCAATTGAAATTGCACACATTACCCACCAAACCTCAAATATATATCATTTATGATCTGTAATTATCATTCAAATTCTATTTGTTCTATTTTTTAATAAAAATACACTTCTTCTTCAAAATTTCTAAAAATTGTTACGAATATTTTTAAATATTAAAAAATTTGCCAAATTTTTTTCACTTGATTTTAACTTTGACTTTTTTTTTTTGACTAATTTTGACTTTTGAAATAATTGCATTTATTCATCTATCAACCTATCAAATCCATATCGAACGGTAAACAATGCGATTCAATGCAATTATATTCTGTTACAACGTATGATTAACGCGTTACTCTTCCTACTTCCAATTATTGGCCATTAACGTCTCTTAGTTTAACCAGCGATAACACTCCACTTTCCAGGGATATAATATTACCTTGTGTAATTGTGAATCCAGAGGATATTCGAAGATGATATATAGTGAGGCAACTCTTAACATTTGGATACTGTAATTTTCTTCGTAAGGGATGAAACATTCATCTTGTATATTTGTATTATATATTATTATTATTATATGATGGATAAAAGTATAAAAATATTTTTTGATTGTTTTATAGTTAGCACTCTGTATATTAATTCAATATTTTGATATCAATTCGTGATAATCATTACAAACATTTATCAACTAATATTAATATCGATAAAATAATAATTACAGATTTTGATTGTTTGCCATATCGTCAGATTTCATTGCATACCAATTGATTTTAATATCAGTCGATTAATTAATTAATTTCAATATCAATAATTTAAACATGATACATTATTGAAAGCATTAATGAAATATATATATATATATATTACATCTCTGCTTTATAGAAATAATTTTTTTGGAAAATTTATATTAAAATAGATAGGTTTGTGCGTGCACTTACCGGCTCACCTTTTGGTCCATCTAACCCAATAGGTCCCTGAAAGAACACGCTGGTAAGTTTGAATAATAGAAAAAGGGGGGAAGAGAAAGGTGTGAAAAAAAAAATCAAAAGGCCGTGGCGAACAGCCTTTGAAAAAAAAAATAAAAATAAAAATAAAAATAAAATAAAATAAAATCATTCCTTGCGATATGATGTGACGTACGTATGCGAGCATACGATAGATAGAGGCCTTGTCTTGTGTGTTCTAGCACATCAAAATGCTTTCAGATGTGACGTTTACGAAAGAAACGATAAAAAGAACGATTGAAGAATGTGAAAATATATATTTTTGTTTCTTTCAAATTTTTCTTTCCATCTATTTTCTATTTGAAAAATACACATGGAAAGAGTTAATTCAATACAATTAGGCTGTTACGTTTTAAATATAAAATTTCAAAAATTGTAATCCCAATTAGAAAAATTACTCGATAATGTAAGAAGTTGAGTAGAAGAAATTTATTGAAAGTCATAAAGTACAATCAAAATAAACTATAAAATAGAATGTTTATGTAAAATATATCTTTTTAAATATATCTTTTTATATATTATATAATTTATTATTAATTATATATATTTGTTTTTATTAAAAAATACGAGTAATAATATTTTTTCACAAATCGAATCACTTTTCACATTCCCCTCTTTACAATCCCATTTCGTATCCATCGATCCACGACCGATTGTCACTTTTTTTGTTTTTCCTTCAAAATATCAAACCGATATTCCAAAGATCGCTTGCATTCGTATTTTTTTTTTTTTTTTTTTAATTTGTTTTAAAACAAATCACTATTTTTCCCCAATCATCTTTTTCCTTCCCTCCCCCTCCTCCTCCCCCCTTCTTTATCCACGCAAAATTTTTACCACTCGTTCGACGGTTTTACACAACGAAACATCATATCTGAAAGCATATGTCGAGCTTCGATTTGACAATCGATATATATATATATGTATATATATATATATACATATATGTATATTATATATATACATACATAGCCATAAATCTGACGCTGTGGAGGAAAGTGTAAAAAAAAAGGATACTGCCAAAAAATCCAAGGGGAGAAAAAAAAAGCGCAAATTGTACAAACGAAGAAGGAAATACAATATGACAAAGTGGGCGTGTGGAAAAAGAGAAACATCGAAAAAAATAAAAGGAGAACGAGATAAAAAAAAAAAGAAAAAAAAACAGACTACGTGAGATGGAAAAAAATGTCATAGTTTCGACATATTCGAATATTTCTTCTCGCTCTGTATTTTAAAATTAAACATAAACATCGATATATCGATAATAAAATAATTTATAAAACTTTATTTACAATATAACATCTTATTTACAATATAACATCGTCCAAATTTCAAATATTCGAATATTTTATCACAACACTGATCAAATCCTTGTTAATAAATATCTTGACACATTAATATATATATATATATATAAAATCATTGTTAACACAAAAAACATGATTTAGCCGTCGTTTACGTGCACGCGTGAAAACAACATGACGAATGGAGTGATGTATACAAAAGGCGATGTGAAAGAGAGAGAGAGAGAGAAAGAGAGAGGAGATAAAACGAAAAAAATAAAAAAGCGGACAGATAATAATAAAGTGACAGAAGAATGGAAAGAAAATAAAAAATAATATACCGGAAAACCGTTCTTGCCCGGCGTCCCGGCCACACCCTGTAAGAAGGGGTATAAAAAATTAAAAACTCGTTCATAAGGGGGCAAGGGTTAAAAAAAAGTGTTCTCGCGGTTTCTTCATGCAAAAGCAAATTTATATCGGCCGCAGCCGATTGTGACGTCGCGCGTCACGTGACGACGATTCTCGTGTCGTTGCGGTTAAAAAGATCCGGTTAAAATACACAGCTACACCCGATAATTATTCCAACCAATTAGATATCATCTCAAGTGGCGGTTAAACGGCACACACGGGGTACGCACCTCAGTTATCGAAACTTGGCTAGATCACAGGGTCAAACCTCCTCCTCCCCCACCCCCTACCCCCCAGATGACAGAGACCGGTCTTTTCGTTCGACGATCAATAAACTTCATCCACGCACCGATGAAAAGCGACACTTTTTGTCAGAGATTTCGTTTCGACCTGTGTTTGTCACTGGGTCGGAAAAACAAAAAGCCTCGATTATTATTATTCGTTAATGAAAATTTTTGGTTCCTTTTTTTTTTTTTTAATCTCTCGAAGAGAGAAGAGAGATACGCGACACTTTTAAAGTATCGAGATCTATAGGATGAAGAAAATTGTAGCTTGAAAAAATTGTGAAATTATTATTTTTCGAGTATAAATTATATTATTTCATTATCTTTATTTTCTTCATTTTTGGAAATGAAACGTGTGTTAAAAATCGTATAAAATAGCGATTTAATGGCATAAAATATATATGAGCATATACTGTATCGAAATAATTAATTATCCGTTCCAAAAAAGTTAAATATATTATTGATTGAAACCGACAAGTAAAATAAATTTTCATATTCTGAGCTACTTAAAAAAAATAATATTCTTATAAATTATGAATTTTGAACTAGAAAGAAATTTGGAAGATTTGAAAAGTGATCACACACAATTTTCAATTTTTGTTCTTTCATTAACATCCAATGTTCATTGAAGTTAATCGCCTTTTTCGAACGTGATTCGATAAAAAGTAAACCCAGGTACATACCCTGTGTTACCGACAGTTAAATACGAATTCCTGTATTCTACCATATACGTATCGTTAGCAAAAACTACACACCATGCATCGAACTACTATGAAAAAAAAACAAAAAAAAAAAACAAAAAAAAACAAAAAAAACACGCACGTGCCAGCACGACGGGGTGCACTACAGGATCGAGGGAGCAAAGGGGTGGTAACGAAACGGAGGAACGGATCTACTCACCTGCGGGCCTGGTTCCCCAGGGTCGCCCTTTTTCCCTTTTTTCCCTCGTTTTCCAGGCTCACCGGGAGGACCTACAACCAGGAACAAACAATAAATCGATACTTTGAACGCACTTGAACGAAAAAAGCAGGGCGAGGACAGAGAGAAGGGTGGAAATGAGTTTTCGGCGCTGGGAGCGAAACACGCGAGTGGCTCTGAGATAGATGGTGGTAACGAAGGTTACGCATAGTGATGGGATCAATTTGTATTTGGGATCAATCTGAATCCAAAGTCCAAAACATTTGTTTCGGTATTTTAAACTTAGACAAATCATTTGGTTTTTAAAAAATATCTATACATTTTGAAATTTGGAAGTTTTCAATTAAATCCAAAATCCAAAAGACTCGTTTCATTCAATATTTTAAACGTAGACGATTATAAGACAATTAATAAGTCATTTGGTTTTTGAAAAATATCTATACATTTTGAAATTTGGAAGTTTTCAATTGAATCCAAAATCCAAAAGACTCGTTTTATTCAGTATTTTAAATTTAGACGATTATAAGACAGTTAATAAGTCATTTGGTTTTTGAAAAATATCTATACATTTTGAAATTTGGAAGTTTTCAATTAAATCCAAAATCCAAAAGACTCGTTTCATTCAATATTTTAAACTTAGACGATTATAAGACAGTTAATAAGTTATTTGATTTTTGAAAAATATTTATATATTTTAAAATTTGAAAATTTTTATTCTATTTAATTTTACTTGGTAAAAAAATGTAATTGTATATTTTAACATCAGAAATTCGAAAATTTCTGAAAAATCCATTAAGAATAATCATTTCTTCCAAAAAGTTAAATATATGTATATATTTTGGTGTTGAAATTTGGAAATTTTTAGAGAGTTAAGTAATAATTGTATATTGTTATATTTGGCACTAGAGAATTCATTAAGCTTAATTATTTAGCTTTTTATTTAATTATGTATAAAATTCACAAGTTTTCAGAAATGGAATTGATTATATAGAGAGTTAATGTATTTATGGAATATATTTGGAAATTTTAAAAACTAATGAAAAATTTGGTTGAAATTTATTTATTAAAATATAATACAACACTAAAATATAATAAACGCTTCATTTATCACAGATTTCAATTAATTCATAACTTAATAAATTTATTTTATTTTGGCTTCTACAATTGACTTCTAATAATGTATATAAGTTTCATATATTTTAGTGCTAAAATTCAAAAATTTTCAAATTCAAAAAATGGAATTGATTGATTTACCTTTTCTATGTACATGGTTTATAATAATGGTTATAATAATGGTTTATAATAATGCTTACTAATTTTAATTGTATATAATTGCTATATAATTTGTATAAGTATTGTATAAGTATGTCATAAGTATATAATTTGATATAGTCATAGACTATTTACAAATTTAAAAAGTCTACTTAAATCCTTTGATATATTAAAATATATTCAACGTTTTTATAAATAGTAATTGAATGAAATAGTAATGAAACTTGGAAAAATTAACATTTCATTGAAATTTTACAAAATTTAATACACTTGACAAATTCTTCTATATTTTTTTCCTATATTATTTTATTTCCAAAAAAAAAAAAGAATAATAATTATTTCATAAGATAGATAATTTAATCATCTCCTAATTTACTATTATATTAATCATAAAAATTACAGCATTGAAAAACAATCTACAAATATTGATTTCAAACAAACTCACTGCTCGCATATTTTTATCTTATTATTATATTTATCTCACTCGAAATTGTTTATTTTCTTAAACACATCCACTTTCGAAAAAGAAATCAGAATCTCAATGTTCAAAAGTATACTCACGATTTGCTCACTCCCATCGCTAGTGGCGCACGCAAGAAAAAAAGGGGGACGCAAAAGAAAAGAAAAGAAAAAAAAAAAAATTCTGGATCGAAATTGAAAACAAAGTTACTCCCCTCTCTCCCCCACTTAAGGATATTTTCGAAAATTTCTCGTCCACCGTTACGTAACGCGAAAAAAATCAATCGATCCTGAGGCTACCTCGCAATTTTGAGCAACGTTTTAGCTCTGTGTCGTTGCGTCTGTCGTGTAATAAGATTTCGTGTAACCACATTTCCCGTGTAAAGCGTTCCATAATGCGTGATTCTGTGCGCTGTAGCAGGAGAGAAATCGTTTTTCCCAACGCTCGTAGAGATTTCAATCGTTTTTCTATTTTCTCACGGAAATCGTTTTTCTTTTCGATATTTTTCTGCCCCGTGTTTTTCGTGCCGATTTCGTTTTTTCTTTTTTTTTTTTTTTTTTTTTTTTTTTTTTTTTTTTTTTTGAGGGCACGATTTTTCCTTCCCGTCGCTTTTTTCCAGAAATAATGACGGTTATCTTTATTATCTTTATAACGACGTTCTCAAAGAATGAGAATAGGGTCAAGTCTTTTAAACGTGTTGATTGTTTTGTTATTTTTATTATTATTATTTTTTCAGCATCCACAAAAATAACAATAAAAATAAATTCTCATATTTATCAAATTGAATTTAATTTATTACAGTAATAGTAGTTTTATAATTTTTATAATTAAAATATTCTTATTAATTTCTTTTTTTTTTTTTAATAATTTATAACCCGTTTCCTTCAAAAAAATCTGAAAATAACGATTATTCATTCAGAAAATATTTCAATCCTTCGATTCCATATACGTATTCCGTATATTGAAAAGAAATAAAGGAATAACGTGATATAAACCGATAAAATCGTGAATAATCCTATCACATCATAAAAATAATAAAAGATCAAGAGGGTTGAAGAATTAGTAGTAAAAAAATATATTGTGCTCAAGTGTGGATCACAATATATTTTTCAAAAAAGATTATTGCAAGAATTTCACGGTTGAAAAAAGAAAAATCTAAAAAAGAATCTATCATTTAAATTTGCTCAAAGATCTAATCTCGTAGATGGTATATATATATATATAGGCCACGATCAAAGTTTATCTCTGGGCCAGGAAATATTAGCCAAGTTTTTTTCCGCCCGTCACAACCCCGTCCGAGAATTGTTTTCAAGTTTTTCCCTCAATATCTGCCGATATCGACCCTCCCAACTTTCCTTGTTAGCACGTTTCTTATTTCATCTTTGCCCCTCCCCCCCCCCCGTCCCCTTCCCCCCTCTCGTCAGCTGGCGAGGAGATTTATATTCGTGTCCCGGATTGTAAAAAAAGAAAAAAAAGTTCACGAGAAAGTTTCTGGTTCACGCCCGGCTAATATCGTCCATTCGAACCTCTTCCCCCTCTATTTTCCTCCTCTTTTTTACCTATCCTTAGCTTTGATCTTCTCGTGCTAATCATAAAACGAAAATATATTTCGAAATAATTCGTGTGAATTTAGAGGAAGCATAATTTTTTGGACGAAAAAGAAAGGGATCGAATCTTGGAATTTAATGGTAAGAAAGAAATTAATCTTCTCGTTCTCTCTTCCTCGTGCCACTAATCATAGGATAAAACGAAAATATATTTCGAAATAATTCGTGTGAATTCAGAGGAAGCATATTTTTTGGGCGAAAAAGAAAGGAATCGAGTCTTCGAATTTAATGGTAAGAAATTAATGTCAGGCAACATTTTTAATATAATAAATATTGTGATATAACATTTAATTAAGAAAATTTTATTACTCTCACTGCATCTGTCTACTAAATCTGTAACTAAATTCTTACGTGTTGCAATAAACGTAATAAACAGTATGTAGACTTTCGACAGAAATAGTTATTGAAATATGTTTTATCAATAAATTTCGTATTAAAAAATGTTCGACTGAAAAAAAAGACGATAAAAGTAATTTCACGAGATATAAAAGTAATTTCGACGAAACTTTGATTCTTCTTCGTGTGATTTAAGATATGTTTATAAAATTCTCTTAATAATATTGGTTCATCTGTACAGCAACAAAATCTGAATCCCTGTTAATATATACGCATCATAACTAACTACGTTGTGTTCCCTTCATTCAAATTTATCTTCACCAGCTGTTCATCTCGTTTTTACACCATCGTCACCTTCCAACTTTCAACCGTTTCCTCCTTTCAACCTCGAACAAAAACAAAACACGGAGAAAGAGTAAAAAAAAAACAAGAAAAACAAGAGGCCATAAAAAGAAAGAAAGAAAACTGTAACGTAGACGTTACACGGTACATCCGCTCATCACAGGATTATTATCGACGACAGAAGAGGAGAAAGAGAAAGAGAGAGAGAGAGAGAGAGTAATGAAGACATCTGTTGATACTCTTTCTCTCTCTCTCTCTCTCTCTCTGCTATTACGAAGAGGAAAAAATAAGGGGAAGGGGTGATGAGAAGACGACAGCGACTTTAAAGCGGCAAATGGCAGTCAAGATGAAACAAGGACAAAAGGATAAGAAGCAAACCTCCGACATGGATGATACAACCGCAAGAATCTCTTGCGATCGATCGTTCTACTCGTGGAGAAACTAAATAAAAGTAAAGTAAACTAGAAGTCGAATGAGGATAAAGAGGGAGAGAGAGAGAGAAAGAAAGACAGAGAGAGAGAGAGAGAGAAAGAGAGAGAAAAAGATATGGTATAGCGAGGATATCTCTTTTCGCCTATATATTCCATTTCGCCTCGTTGTTACCATTACTTTTCACAACCGTTTCTCTCTCGTCTCTCGTTGGCTCACGGATGTAACTAGAAGTTTTCTTCTTCTCAGAGTTCTCGTCAAACCGCAAATGACGAGCACAACCACAGAGAGTGTGTACTCGAGGAATTCCGGCGAGTAACGAGGAAAGTTGTACCGGAAAAGAGGAGGAACACTTCTTGACTTAACATTACTTGTTGGTTTCTTGATCGCTCTCTCTCCTTTCTGCGCGCACACATACAAGACGTTAATATATTCGTGAGACAGATTTGATGAGAGTCGAAACAAAAGTTGGACGTACAGAAACGAGACTTATTCATTAGAGAAAATTTCTAAAAGTATTCCTATTGCGTGTTATCTCATTTTATGAAGAAACTGTATTGGCAATAGTAATTGAATCGAATTGCGTATTATAATTTTCATGCATCAA